AGCTTACCTACGGCGAGTACCGCCCACAACATCGTTCTGACCCACAACAGTTGCTAGCCGTAGCAGCAGGAAAAGTAGACTACAGCGTTTGTAAAGTCTTGTGAGCCGCTCTCTTTGGCGAGCACGAGCTGTTGGTTGGCAAACCTAGAGCCTCTTGCAGCCTTGACTTACGGAAATGTTTTCTGTAATCGTCATATAAAAGTCGTTCGTTCTCGTCACGGCGACTGTGCAGCACGCGAACAGGGATTTCATGGCAAGCCACATGACGTGTTATAGAAGACAAGTCGGGGAAGCATCAACCTTATTGCGGATAATGCGACTATGCGATATATCTTAGTACTGCGCTAGTCGCGGCGGTAGTCTGATTAAACGATTATTTATTCCAACACGCGTCTACACTAACCCGCTCGTTCAGCTCTCCACCGTCTGTTCATAATCGTCGTCATGGCTCCATCCATCTTGGATTCTGACGATGCCACGTCAGTAGTACCCGATACGCTAGACGACTGGTACGATGGCGTCACTCCGGATTCGACCACCAACGATTTCCGTCGCGACGCCGCGCCTAATGATTATGCCGTGCTCCGGCGTCGGTTGACGATGCGTCAGCAGTCGATGGGCCGGCAGTCGACACGTCAGCAATCGACACGTCAGCAGTCGTCGCGTCAGCAGCAATCCTTCACGAGCTCGCGATCTTTCATGGCTCAGCCGTCCTTAGACCCTTCGCTGAATAACCCTCCTGCTAGCAGCAGCAGGACCATTTCCAACCTTTCTGGAAGAAGCTCGTCAGAAAAAACCTCAAGCTTCGTTAGTGCGATCCCGAGTTTCGCTAGTAGCACGTCCGGTGGTGCGCCGATGCGTTACCAAGTCGGGTCGATCCAAGAAGTCGCGGAGTCGGAGGACGAAGAAGCGGAGGGGGAGGAGCCAGAGCGCGGGGAAGGTAGTACCGCCGGGGGAGGCGGAGCGGATGGGTGGGGGGGAGGAACGGGGGAAACTGACGGGGAAGATGGCCGCGGGGGGACTGCGCCGGGGGGAGCCAGAGAAGGGGGGGATGAAGCGGGCAGCGCGGAGAGAGTCAGGCGGGGGAAGCTCGGGCGAGTGAGCTTTGCTGCTGGCACGTGGAAACTCGGCGTTGACGGCACAATGGAGGAGGTTAATAACGAGGATGCGGCAGATGATGACAGTGGAATGAATGCACCCTACGGCGAGGGGCACAGCGGGGTCGCCGGTCTCGCCGGTGCTGACACGTGGCACTCCGCCGCCGCCGGCATCTTCGCTTCCGCCGCTTCCGCCATTTCCTCCACTTCCTCCGCGTTCCCCGGCGATTCCGACGCGGAAGAGCCTTCTAGCGGCCCGTCGTCCTCGGCATTTTATAACGAGCTGTTCGGGATCGGCGAGGCGCCGTTGATCAACCTGATCCGACGGTACCACGACGCGCTCACCGCGCACGGGCTGGCGGAGGAGGCGCAGGAGATCGCCGCGTCCGCCGCCGCGCGACTCGTGAGCATCAAGAGCATGGCTTCGCGCAGGCGGGGCGCGGCGGAAGAGGATGAGGTGGATGGGGAGGGGGAGGATGGAGAGGAGGGGGACGGGAGAGGGGGAGAAGGAGGAGTGGGAGGTGGGTGGGGGCCGGGGCGGATGGAGAACGAGGAGGAGGGGGAGGGGGCGAGGAGCGAGGTGATGGTGAGGGAGGGCCTGCAGAAGTATCTGATTGCCATGCAGCCAAACCTGCTGTGCGCGCAGCCACAGGTGAGAACTAGGGAGCACAAGCGTGTGTGTGTGTGTGTGTGTGCGCGCGCGTGCGCGCGCGCGCGTGCGCGTTTGTGTGCGTGCGTACATGTGTTTGTGTGTGCGCGCGCGCACGTTCGTGCAAGTGTGTGCATGCAGACCTGCATGGTCACCCTCAACTCAGCAATCCAGGAATCCACTTGTGCAACCCACCCAATCAGGTGGTGACGTTCAGCCACGTGTCAGTGACAAAGAAGGTGGTGGTCATCCCGGATCAGATCAAAAACTGCTTCAACGCGGTGAGAGTGGGGGGGTGGGACGGTGGGTGGGACTTATGAGAATCCTCAGAAGGGTGGTGTGGTCACCACAATGCGGTGAGAGTGGCCCGTGGGAAGGGGCGGTGAGCCATAGCCTAAGACTGGGGGGATGCGGTGAGAAGGGTGGCATGCATGGGGGATTGCAGGGAGATCACTGGCTGTACGACAAGGCAGCAGCAGCACCATGCCTCAAGGCCAGGCCATCATATCAATGCAGACGGTGCAGACGGACACCAGCGGCCCAGCGGGTGGCTTTTAATTGACCCCAAAGGTCTTTGGCTGTCGCACGACAAGGCCGCCCATTGCAATGCCTCAAGGCCAGGCCATCACTGGCCGTGCGGCCACCAACGGAGCGTCCCAGCGGGTGACGTTTGAATCAACCCCAAAGGTCACTGGCTGCTGTAGCCTGTACGACAAGACTGCACCATTGTAATGCCACCAGGCCATCATTACACTGCAGGCTGTGCGGACACCAGCGGGTGTGCAAGGGAGAAGAGGGGGTGTGCTATGCAACACAAGCTACCTAATGTGCTGTTTTCGTACCCTCCTTGACACCATTGCTCACTGCCTATCTTCCCCTCTCTGTTCCTCTCTCTCCCACCCCGCGTATCGGAGCAGCCGTATTTCAAGCTCAAGTCTGTCGCGGGATGGCAGAGGAAGGAGACCATTCACGTGCTTGATGATGTCTCAGGGTGCGTGCCTCTCCTGCCCCCTGCTTCCTTTCCCTCCTATCCTGTCCCGCTGTACACTGTATCACGCATCGAAATGTCTCAGGGCGCGTCTCGTGCTCTCTGCTGTACGCCTAACTGCATACTGCGCACCTGTCCTGTCCTGCCCTGCACACTGTATCCCGCCTTCCTTCGTGTGTTGAGCACGTGCATTGAGTGTGTCTCCCACGTGCCAAACACCTATATCCAAATCAATCCATGCGTGCCTTGCTTCCCTTCCCCCACGCCCCCACTCACCCCTTTTGCTCGTGAGGAGACAAGTGCCACTCACCGCCTTCCGCTCTCCCTTTCCATTCCCACACTTTCCTTGCAGCTTCCTCATGCCAGGGACTCTCACACTCCTCCTGGGAACCTCAGGTGAGCCGATCTTATCTTGTCTTCCTCCACCCACCTGCCATCAGGTGATATTCAGGTGGGCCTCAGGTGAGAGACTCAGGTGGGCCTCAGGTGGGCTTCAGGTGGGTCCCAGGTGGGTCCCTCCCAGGTGAGCCCGTCTTGAGACTGCCAGGTAGCTAGTGGACATTGCATGCCGCCAACCCACCACCACCCCGTTATTCCCTTCTCGTTCGCGCGTCCTCACGTTGTGGTACAGGCACTGTCAAGTCAACCCTAAACCGCCTCTTGGCCAGCGGCATCCCCCCACCACCAACCAACACCGTCTCATATCAACGCCCTCCCCGTCACACCTTCCCTGCCCGATTCATCGTTCCCCCCCACATCCCCCCGCTTCAACCCTTCACCCACCCCCACCCCACCCCTCCTCTGTACCCCCACAGGCAGTGGTAAGTCAATGCTCATCCGCCTGCTCACCACTGTCACGGTGGCCTTCAACGCGCTGCCCATCATGCCCTCCCCACCCTATTCATCCACCCCCCCAACCCAACCCCCCTTCCCCCCGCTGTGGTCCCCACAGGTAGCGGCAAGTCAACGCTCATCCGCCTGCTAGCCGGCTGCCAGCCCGCCGCCACCCGCACCGTGTCCTTCAACGCGCACCCCATCACGCCCTCCCGCACCGCCTCGTGGGGGTGGGCCTCGACGCCGACTGCCATCTCCCCGCCCTCTCCGTTCACCAGAGTCGTAACCCTCACCTTCACCTGCACCTGCGCTGCAGTCCCTCACCCCCCCAACCCTTCATTCCCTCGTCTGTCCCACACCCCCCTCTCTCCGCCCCGTCATCCACCAGGCAGCGGCAAGTCAACGCTCATCCGCCTGCTGGCCGGCCGCCAACCCCCAACCAACGGCACCGTGGCTTTCAACGCCTTCCCCATCACGCCCTCCCGCGCGCACCGCCTCGTAGGGGTCGGTTTCGACGCCGACTGCCATCTCCCCGCGCTCTCCGTGCACGAAACCCTCGCCTTCGCCCGCCACTGCTCGTACCCGCTGTCAGCCAAGCAGCTGCTGCAGCACCCCATGCTGGGCAAGGCGCTGCGGGCGAGCATAGAGAGGGGCGAGGATCCCCTGGTGGCGTCCCGAGAGGCCATGTTTGGGCTGAGAAGACATGCCGGGGAGCGGGTTGGGTCAGGGGCGTTGACTCGGGACGAGGTGCACCGGCTGACTGCTGCTGAGCTCATGGTCGGCGCTTACCCGGTGAGTTTTCAGGCTGACTAAAGCGAGCATAGAGAGGGGCGAGGATCCGCTAGTGGCGTCCAGAGCGGCCATGTTTGGGCTGAGGAGGCACGCTGGGGAGCGGGTGGGGTCGGGAGCGTTGAGTCGGGACGAGGTGCACCGCCTGACTGCCACAGAGCTCATGGTTGGCGCCTACCCGGTGAGTGTTGCGTTGATTTAGAAGGCTAGAGGGGGTGCAGTGCAGGTCGGGTCATGGGGCTGACGAGGGATGATGACGTGCAGAGACTGACTGCTGCAGAGCTCATGGTTGGCGCCTACCCGGTGAGTGTTGCGTTGATTTAGAAGGCTAGAGGGGGTGCAGTGCAGGTCGGGTCATGGGGCTGACGAGGGATGATGACGTGCAGAGACTGACTGCTGCAGAGCTCATGGTTGGCGCCTACCCGGTGAGTTTTGAGGCGCCTTTAGAAGGATGAGCGGGTGGGGTGTGTGGGGGGCTTTGCACATGGATGCTCATGCCTCACATGGTCACGCACGCCCTCTCATGCCACATATGCCCTCACTGCATGTGACGGTTTTTCAGGCGCCTAAAAAATCATCGCGTGTGCTGCTTCTCTCCCCATCTGCCCCTTTTTCCCTCCTCCCTCCCCACCACCCTTGGCAGGTGCTGCTGTTCGATCGCATCAGCCAAGTGTATGATGGGCCGTCCACGCACAAGACACTCACCCTACTCGCATGCGCTGCTTCTCTTCTCTCCCCATCTGCCCCTTCCCCTCCTCCTCCCCCCCCCCCCCCCCAGGTGCTGCTGTTCGATCGCATCAGCCAAGTGTATGATGGGCCCTCCACGCACAAGATGCTCACCCTACGCGCGTGTGCTGCTTCTCCCTCCTCCCTCCCCACCACCCTTGGCAGGTGCTGCTGTTCGATCGCATCAGCCAAGTGTATGATGGGCCGTCCACGCACAAGACGCTCACCATGCTGCGCACCCACGCTCAGGTCAGCCCTCCCCTCCTTCCCCCTTTCCCCCTTCCCCATTCCCCCCTTCCCCCTTTCCCCCTTCCCCCCTTCCCCCTTCCCCCCTTCCTCCCTTCCCCCCTTCCCCCCTTCCCCTTTCCTCACCCAAGCACATGACTCTCATCCTTTGCACAGCCGCAGTCTTGTCTCTGTGCGTTCTTAAGCTGCATGAAGTTCTGTTTATGTGCTGTTTGTTTGTTTTTTTCGATCTATTGTAGGGAGACCCCTTCTGTATGCCCGCCTCTCCCTCACACCCCTCTTCCAATACACCCTCTCCCCCTCCCCCATAACCCCCACACACCCATACCCACATGCAAACACAGGTGCGGCAACACGCGGTGCTGTGCTCCCTCCCTGCAGCAGTGGCCCACACAGGCGGTCTTCTCTCTCTTCGACCGTGTCCTTGTGTCCACCCCCTCACTAACACCCACACCTGCACCCACACACCTCCATCCACCCACATTCACCAGGTGCGGCAGCACGCGGTGCTGTGCTCCCTGCAGTGGCCCACACAGGCGGTCTTCTCCCTCTTCGACCGCGTGATAGTGCTCAACCAGATCTGAGGCACATCACCACACTCTGCCCCTCCCTTCTCCCCACTTACCCCTCAACACGCACGCACCCACGCACGCACACACCAGGTGCGGCAGCACGCGGTGCTGTGTTCCCTGCAGTGGCCCACCCAGGCCGTCTTCTCCCTCTTCGACCGTGTGATAGTGCTCAACCAGGGCAACATTGTCTACCAGGGGCCCTGCCACACCGCGCTAAGGCACTTTCAGCAGCTGGGGTGAGCGGAAAGCACGCATATGTGTGCATGGGTGTGTGTGTGTGTGTGTGTGTGTGTGTGTGTGTGTGTGTGTGTGTGTGTGTGTGTGTGCTGTGCTGCTGCTCACGGTGCTGCACTCGACCAGGGCAACATCGTCTACCAGGGCCCTGCCACACCGCTCTCCGACACTTCCAGCAGCTGGGGTGAGCGATGCATGTGTGTGTGTGTGTGTGTATGTGTGTGTGTATGTGTGTGTGTGTGTATGTGTGTGTGTGTGTGTATGTGTATGTATGTGTGTTTGTGTGTGTGTGTGTTCTGTGTGTGTGTGTGTGTGTGTGCATGTTTGTGCATGTGTGTGTGCATGTGTGCGTGCATGTGTGTGTGCATGTGTGTGTGCATGTGTGTGTGCATGTGTGTGTGCATGTGTGCGTGCATGTGTGTGTGCATGTGTGTGTGCATGTGTGTGTGCATGTGTGTGCGCATGTGTGTGTGCATGTGTGTGCGCATGTGTGTGTGCATGTGTGTGCGCATGTGTGCGTGCATGTGTGTGCGCATGTGTGCGTGCATGTGTGCGCATGTGTGTGCGCATGTGTGTGCGCATGTGTGTGCGCATGTGTGCGTGCATGTGTGCGTGCATGTGTGCGCATGTGTGTGCGCATGTGTGTGTGCATGTCAGGGCTCTACCGTCTAAGGGCCTTACCAAGCACATCTTACACTCATTCCCGTACCCTTTCCATCCCCTGCTTTTCTCCCACTCTTCACTCCCCCTCGTCCAACCCCCTCTTATTCCCACCCCTTCTTCCCGCCCTCCCCTTCCTCCCTCCCTCCGCCGACTTTCAACACACCTGGCCTGGACCTCCTAAAACCTGGATCCATATGCGTTTTGAGGCGCCTCAAAACTCGTCTCATAACACACCCGGACCTCCTGAAACCTGGATCAATACATGTCATGTCTTACTAGTTTTGAGACGTCTCAAAACCGTGTCTTACTCCGCAGAGCAGATGATTGCATTTGAGGCCCCTCGCACATGCCAGTGCCCCTAACAACTTTCCTTTCCCTCATTTCCCCCATTCCTCTCCCCTCGTCTCCCACCCCTTCCTTCCACCCCTTCCCCCTCCCCCTCAGCTACCTGAAGCCGCTACACATGTCAGTGCCCGAGTACCTGCAGCACGTCACCACGGAGGGCGGGGGAGCCCTCAGGTCCGGCAAGAGAAAGCTGCTGCTCGAGGGCTTCGGTGAGTAAAGGGTGCTGCTGAGGGGGTTTGGTGAGTGTGGTGCGGAGGGGTTCGGTTCGGAAGGATGATGGGGCTGGGCGAGTGAGATGGGTACCTGCAGCACGTCACCATGGAGGAGGGGGGGTGGAGCCCTCAGGTCCGGCAAGAGGAAGCTGCTGCTCGAGGGCTTCGGTGAGTAAAGGGTGCTACCGTTCCCTCCAGACACCCACGTGTTACCTACCATCATTCCCTTCATCATCCTCTTCATCATCCTCTTCATCATCCTCTTCATCATCCTCTTCATCATCCTCTTCATCATCCTCTTCATCATCCTCTTCATCATCCTCTTCATCATCCTCTTCATCATCCTCTTCATCATTCTCTTCATCATCCTCTTCATCATCCTCTTCATCATCCTCTTCATCATCCTCTTCATCATCCTCTTCATCATCCTCTTCATCATCCTCTTCATCATCCTCTTCATCATCCTCTTCATCATCCTCTTCATCATCCTCTTCATCATCCTCTTCATCATCCTCTTCATCATCCTCTTCATCATCCTCTTCATCATCCTCTTCATCATACTCTTCATCATCCTCTTCATCATCCTCTTCATCATCCTCTTCATCATCCTCTTCATCATCCTCTTCATCATCCTCTTCATCATCCTCTTCATCATCCTCTTCATCATCCTCTTCATCATCCTCTTCATCATCCTCTTCATCATCCTCTTCATCATCCTCTTCATCATCCTCTTCATCATCCTCTTCATCATCCTCTTCATCATCCTCTTCATCATCCTCTTCATCATCCTCTTCATCATCCTCTTCATCATCCTCTTCATCCTCTTCATCATCTCTTCATCATTCTCTTCATCATCCTCTTCGTCATCCTCTTCGTCATCCTCTTCGTCATCCTCTTCGTCATCCTCTTCGTCATCCTCTTCGTCATCCTCTTCGTCATCCTCTTCGTCATCCTCTTCGTCATCCTCTTCATCATCCTCTTCATCATCCTCTTCATCATCCTCTTCATCATCCTCTTCATCATCCTCTTCGTCATCCTCTTCGTCATCCTCTTCGTCATCCTCTTCATCATCCTCTTCGTCATCCTCTTCATCATCCTCTTCGTCATCCTCTTCATCATCCTCTTCATCATTCTCTTCATCATCCTCTTCGTCATCCTCTTCGTCATCCTCTTCATCATCCTCTTCATCATCCTCTTCGTCATCCTCTTCGTCATCCTCTTCGTCATCCTCTTCGTCATCCTCTTCGTCATCCTCTTCGTCATCCTCTTCGTCATCCTCTTCGTCATCCTCTTCATCATCCTCTTCATCATCCTCTTCATCATCCTCTTCATCATCCTCTTCATCATCCTCTTCATCATCCTCTTCATCATCCTCTTCATCATCCTCTTCATCATCCTCTTCATCATCCTCTTCATCATCCTCTTCATCATCCTCTTCATCATCCTCTTCATCATCCTCTTCATCATCCTCTTCATCATCCTCTTCATCATCCTCTTCATCATCCTCTTCATCATCCTCTTCATCATCCTCTTCATCATCCTCTTCATCATCCTCTTCATCATCCTCTTCATCATCCTCTTCATCATCCTCTTCATCATCCTCTTCATCATCCTCTTCATCATCCTCTTCATCATCCTCTTCATCATCCTCTTCATCATCCTCTTCATCATCCTCTTCATCATCCTCTTCATCATCCTCTTCATCATCCTCTTCATCATCCTCTTCATCATCCTCTTCATCATCCTCTTCATCATCCTCTTCATCATCCTCTTCATCATCCTCTTCATCATCCTCTTCATCATCCTCTTCATCATCCTCTTCATCATCCTCTTCATCATCCTCTTCATCATCCTCTTCATCATCCTCTTCATCATCCTCTTCATCATCCTCTTCATCATCCTCTTCATCATCCTCTTCATCATCCTCTTCATCATCCTCTTCATCATCGTTCCTCTTCATCATCCTCTTCATCATCCTCTTCATCATCCTCTTCATCATCCTCTTCATCATCCTCTTCATCATCCTCTTCATCATCCTCTTCATCATCCTCTTCATCATCCTCTTCATCATCCTCTTCATCATCCTCTTCATCATCCTCTTCATCATCCTCTTCATCATCCTCTTCATCATCCTCTTCATCATCCTCTTCATCATCCTCTTCATCATCCTCTTCATCATCCTCTTCATCATCCTCTTCATCATCCTCTTCATCATCCTCTTCATCATCCTCTTCATCATCCTCTTCATCATCCTCTTCGTCATCCTCTTCGTCATCCTCTTCGTCATCCTCTTCGTCATCCTCTTCGTCATCCTCTTCGTCATCCTCTTCGTCATCCTCTTCGTCATCCTCTTCGTCATCCTCTTCGTCATCCTCTTCATCATCCTCTTCATCATCCTCTTCATCATCCTCTTCATCATCCTCTTCATCATCCTCTTCATCATCCTCTTCATCATCCTCTTCATCATCCTCTTCATCATCCTCTTCATCATCCTCTTCATCATCCTCTTCATCATCCTCTTCATCATCCTCTTCATCATCCTCTTCATCATCCTCTTCATCATCCTCTTCATCATCCTCTTCATCATCCTCTTCATCATCCTCTTCATCATCCTCTTCATCATCCTCTTCATCATCCTCTTCATCATCCTCTTCATCATCCTCTTCATCATCCTCTTCATCATCCTCTTCATCATCCTCTTCATCATCCTCTTCATCATCCTCTTCATCATCCTCTTCATCATCCTCTTCATCATCCTCTTCATCATCCTCTTCATCATCCTCTTCATCATCCTCTTCATCATCCTCTTCATCATCCTCTTCATCATCCTCTTCATCATCCTCTTCATCATCCTCTTCATCATCCTCTTCATCATCCTCTTCATCATCCTCTTCATCATCCTCTTCGTCATCCTCTTCGTCATCCTCTTCGTCATCCTCTTCGTCATCCTCTTCGTCATCCTCTTCGTCATCCTCTTCGTCATCCTCTTCGTCATCCTCTTCGTCATCCTCTTCGTCATCCTCTTCATCATCCTCTTCATCATCCTCTTCATCATCCTCTTCATCATCCTCTTCATCATCCTCTTCGTCATCCTCTTCGTCATCCTCTTCGTCATCCTCTTCGTCATCCTCTTCATCATCCTCTTCATCATCCTCTTCGTCATCCTCTTCGTCATCCTCTTCGTCATCCTCTTCGTCATCCTCTTCGTCATCCTCTTCGTCATCCTCTTCGTCATCCTCTTCATCATCCTCTTCGTCATCCTCTTCGTCATCCTCTTCGTCATCCTCTTCGTCATCCTCTTCGTCATCCTCTTCGTCATCCTCTTCGTCATCCTCTTCGTCATCCTCTTCGTCATCCTCTTCGTCATCCTCTTCGTCATCCTCTTCGTCATCCTCTTCATCATCCTCTTCATCATCCTCTTCATCATCCTCTTCATCATCCTCTTCATCATCCTCTTCATCATCCTCTTCATCATCCTCTTCATCATCCTCTTCATCATCCTCTTCATCATCCTCTTCATCATCCTCTTCATCATCCTCTTCATCATCCTCTTCATCATCCTCTTCATCATCCTCTTCATCATCCTCTTCATCATCCTCTTCATCATCCTCTTCATCATCCTCTTCATCATCCTCTTCATCATCCTCTTCATCATCCTCTTCATCATCCTCTTCATCATCCTCTTCATCATCCTCTTCATCATCCTCTTCATCATCCTCTTCATCATCCTCTTCATCATCCTCTTCATCATCCTCTTCATCATCCTCTTCATCATCCTCTTCATCATCCTCTTCATCATCCTCTTCATCATCCTCTTCATCATCCTCTTCATCATCCTCTTCATCATCCTCTTCGTCATCCTCTTCGTCATCCTCTTCGTCATCCTCTTCGTCATCCTCTTCGTCATCCTCTTCGTCATCCTCTTCGTCATCCTCTTCGTCATCCTCTTCGTCATCCTCTTCGTCATCCTCTTCGTCATCCTCTTCGTCATCCTCTTCGTCATCCTCTTCAGTCATCCTCTTCATCATCCTCTTCATCATCCTCTTCATCATCCTCTTCATCATCCTCTTCATCATCCTCTTCATCATCCTCTTCATCATCCTCTTCATCATCCTCTTCATCATCCTCTTCATCATCCTCTTCATCATCCTCTTCAGTCATCCTCTTCGTCATCCTCTTCGTCATCCTCTTCGTCATCCTCCTCGTCATCCTCTTCGTCATCCTCTTCGTCATCCTCTTCGTCATCCTCTTCGTCATCCTCTTCGTCATCCTCTTCGTCATCCTCTTCGTCATCCTCTTCGTCATCCTCTTCGTCATCCTCTTCATCATCCTCTTCATCATCCTCTTCATCATCCTCTTCATCATCCTCTTCGTCATTCTCTTCGTCATCCTCTTCGTCATCCTCTTCGTCATCCTCTTCGTCATCCTCTTCGTCATCCTCTTCGTCATCCTCTTCATCATCCTCTTCATCATCCTCTTCATCATCCTCTTCATCATCCTCTTCATCATCCTCTTCATCATCCTCTTCATCATCCTCTTCATCATCCTCTTCATCATCCTCTTCATCATCCTCTTCATCATCCTCTTCATCATCCTCTTCGTCATCCTCTTCGTCATCCTCTTCGTCATCCTCTTCGTCATCCTCTTCGTCATCCTCTTCGTCATCCTCTTCGTCATCCTCTTCGTCATCCTCTTCGTCATCCTCTTCGTCATCCTCTTCGTCATCCTCTTCGTCATCCTCTTCGTCATCCTCTTCATCATCCTCTTCATCATCCTCTTCATCATCCTCTTCATCATCCTCTTCGTCATTCTCTTCGTCATCCTCTTCGTCATCCTCTTCGTCATCCTCTTCGTCATCCTCTTCGTCATCCTCTTCGTCATCCTCTTCGTCATCCTCTTCATCATCCTCTTCATCATCCTCTTCGTCATGCTCTTCGTCATCCTCTTCGTCATCCTCTTCGTCATCCTCTTCGTCATCCTCTTCGTCATCCTCTTCGTCATCCTCTTCATCATCCTCTTCATCATCCTCTTCATCATCCTCTTCATCATCCTCTTCATCATCCTCTTCATCATCCTCTTCGTCATCCTCTTCGTCATCCTCTTCGTCATCCTCTTCATCATCCTCTTCATCATCCTCTTCATCATCCTCTTCATCATCCTCTTCGTCATTCTCTTCGTCATCCTCTTCGTCATCCTCTTCGTCATCCTCTTCGTCATCCTCTTCGTCATCCTCTTCGTCATCCTCTTCGTCATCCTCTTCGTCATCCTCTTCGTCATCCTCTTCGTCATCCTCTTCGTCATCCTCTTCGTCATCCTCTTCGTCATCCTCTTCGTCATCCTCTTCGTCATCCTCTTCGTCATCCTCTTCGTCATCCTCTTCGTCATCCTCTTCGTCATCCTCTTCATCATCCTCTTCATCATCCTCTTCATCATCCTCTTCATCATCCTCTTCATCATCCTCTTCATCATCCTCTTCATCATCCTCTTCATCATCCTCTTCATCATTCTCTTCATCATCCTCTTCATCATCCTCTTCATCATCCTCTTCATCATCCTCTTCATCATCCTCTTCATCATCCTCTTCATCATCCTCTTCATCATCCTCTTCATCATCCTCTTCATCATCCTCTTCATCATCCTCTTCATCATCCTCTTCATCATCCTCTTCATCATCCTCTTCATCATCCTCTTCATCATCCTCTTCATCATCCTCTTCATCATCCTCTTCATCATCCTCTTCATCATCCTCTTCATCATCCTCTTCATCATCCTCTTCATCATCCTCTTCATCATCCTCTTCATCATCCTCTTCATCATCCTCTTCATCATCCTCTTCATCATCCTCTTCATCATCCTCTTCATCATCCTCTTCATCATCCTCTTCATCATCCTCTTCATCATCCTCTTCATCATCCTCTTCATCATCCTCTTCATCATCCTCTTCATCATCCTCTTCATCATCCTCTTCATCATCCTCTTCATCATCCTCTTCATCATCCTCTTCAGTCATCCTCTTCGTCATCCTCTTCGTCATCCTCTTCGTCATCCTCTTCGTCATCCTCTTCGTCATCCTCTTCGTCATCCTCTTCGTCATCCTCTTCGTCATCCTCTTCGTCATCCTCTTCGTCATCCTCTTCGTCATCCTCTTCATCATCCTCTTCATCATCCTCTTCATCATCCTCTTCATCATCCTCTTCATCATCCTCTTCATCATCCTCTTCGTCATCCTCTTCGTCATCCTCTTCGTCATCCTCTTCGTCATCCTCTTCATCATCCTCTTCATCATCCTCTTCGTCATCCTCTTCGTCATCCTCTTCGTCATCCTCTTCGTCATCCTCTTCATCATCCTCTTCGTCATCCTCTTCGTCATCCTCTTCGTCATCCTCTTCGTCATCCTCTTCGTCATCCTCTTCGTCATCCTCTTCGTCATCCTCTTCGTCATCCTCTTCGTCATCCTCTTCGTCATCCTCTTCGTCATCCTCTTCGTCATCCTCTTCGTCATCCTCTTCGTCATCCTCTTCGTCATCCTCTTCGTCATCCTCTTCATCATCCTCTTCATCATCCTCTTCATCATCCTCTTCATCATCCTCTTCATCATCCTCTTCATCATCCTCTTCATCATCCTCTTCATCATCCTCTTCATCATCCTCTTCATCATCCTCTTCATCATCCTCTTCATCATCCTCTTCATCATCCTCTTCATCATCCTCTTCATCATCCTCTTCATCATCCTCTTCATCATCCTCTTCATCATCCTCTTCATCATCCTCTTCATCATCCTCTTCATCATCCTCTTCATCATCCTCTTCATCATCCTCTTCATCATCCTCTTCATCATCCTCTTCATCATCCTCTTCATCATCCTCTTCATCATCCTCTTCATCATCCTCTTCATCATCCTCTTCATCATCCTCTTCATCATCCTCTTCATCATCCTCTTCATCATCCTCTTCATCATCCTCTTCATCATCCTCTTCATCATCCTCTTCAGTCATCCTCTTCGTCATCCTCTTCGTCATCCTCTTCGTCATCCTCTTCGTCATCCTCTTCGTCATCCTCTTCGTCATCCTCTTCGTCATCCTCTTCGTCATCCTCTTCGTCATCCTCTTCGTCATCCTCTTCGTCATCCTCTTCGTCATCCTCTTCATCATCCTCTTCATCATCCTCTTCATCATCCTCTTCATCATCCTCTTCGTCATCCTCTTCGTCATCCTCTTCGTCATCCTCTTCGTCATCCTCTTCGTCATCCTCTTCGTCATCCTCTTCGTCATCCTCTTCGTCATCCTCTTCGTCATCCTCTTCGTCATCCTCTTCGTCATCCTCTTCGTCATCCTCTTCGTCATCCTCTTCGTCATCCTCTTCGTCATCCTCTTCGTCATCCTCTTCGTCATCCTCTTCGTCATCCTCTTCGTCATCCTCTTCGTCATCCTCTTCATCATCCTCTTCATCATCCTCTTCATCATCCTCTTCATCATCCTCTTCATCATCCTCTTCATCATCCTCTTCATCATCCTCTTCATCATCCTCTTCATCATCCTCTTCATCATCCTCTTCATCATCCTCTTCATCATCCTCTTCATCATCCTCTTCATCATCCTCTTCATCATCCTCTTCATCATCCTCTTCATCATCCTCTTCATCATCCTCTTCATCATCCTCTTCATCATCCTCTTCATCATCCTCTTCATCATCCTCTTCATCATCCTCTTCATCATCCTCTTCATCATCCTCTTCATCATCCTCTTCATCATCCTCTTCATCATCCTCTTCATCATCCTCTTCATCATCCTCTTCATCATCCTCTTCATCATCCTCTTCATCATCCTCTTCATCATCCTCTTCATCATCCTCTTCATCATCCTCTTCATCATCCTCTTCATCATCCTCTTCATCATCCTCTTCATCATCCTCTTCATCATCCTCTTCATCATCCTCTTCATCATCCTCTTCATCATCCTCTTCATCATCCTCTTCATCATCCTCTTCATCATCCTCTTCATCATCTCTTCATCATCCTCTTCATCATCCTCTTCATCATCCTCTTCATCATCCTCTTCATCATCCTCTTCATCATCCTCTTCATCATCCTCTTCATCATCCTCTTCGTCATCCTCTTCGTCATCCTCTTCGTCATCCTCTTCGTCATCCTCTTCGTCATCCTCTTCGTCATCCTCTTCGTCATCCTCTTCGTCATCCTCTTCCTCATCCTCTTCGTCATCCTCTTCCTCATCCTCTTCATCATCCTCTTCATCATCCTCTTCATCATCCTCTTCATCATCCTCTTCATCATTCTCTTCATCATTCTCTTCATCATCCTCTTCATCATCCTCTTCATCATCCTCTTCATCATCCTCTTCATCATCCTCTTCATCATCCTCTTCATCATCCTCTTCATCATCCTCTTCATCATTCTCTTCATCATTCTCTTCATCATCCTCTTCATCATCCTCTTCATCATCCTCTTCATCATCCTCTTCATCATCCTCTTCATCATCCTCTTCATCATTCTCTTCATCATCCTCTTCATCATCCTCTTCATCATCCTCTTCATCATTCTCTTCATCATTCTCTTCACCTTCTTCATCCTTCTCTCACATCTCGACATCCTTATTTTCTTTTCATACACCCATCTCTCCTGCGTGCCTGCCAACAGTGCGTGCATACAAGAAGTCCCCTCATTACAAGAACATCCTCCGTGTCACAAGCCACCCCACGCCTCTCCTCCTCCTCTGGATCTCCGGGCCGGCATGCCGCGTCCTTTCCCGGATCCGCTGCGCGATCGCTGACGTGGCACCTGACACCCCGTCAGCAGCAGACGCCAGCGCTCCAGACGCCGCCACGTCAGCGCCAAACGGCGAGAGGAAGGGAGACCAGCCACAGCAGCAGCAGCAGCAGCAGCAGCAGCAGCAGAGCGGTGCAGCAGCAAGCAGCAGAGCAGGAGAGGGCAGAGAAGAAGCTAATCACTCGCCGTACCAAGCAGTGGTGGTGACAGAGGCGCGTGTTTACTTCGATGAGCCGGGGGGGAGAGGGGGAGAGGGAGGGCATCTGGAAGAGGGGTTAGAGGCAACGGGACCGGTGTGTGTGGGGGATGTGGTGGTTGCGGTGACAGTGGGCGATCGAGGCGAGATGGAGTATGCACGGTATGCGGGGGGGGATGTGCCGGTAGAGGAGATAATGGAGATGTTGGAGGAGGTGAGGGACAGCTCCACGTGGCTGCATCTTGAGCTGCAGCGACCCCTCCTTATAGTCACACAACAGGTGAGTGCCTGTGTGTGTGCTGGGCGGGGGGAGGAATGTACCGGGGGAGGAGATAATGGAGATGTTGGAAGAGGTTAGAGATAGCTCCACGTGGCTGCATCTGGAGCTGCAGCGACCCCTCTATATAGTCACACAACAGGGGTGAGTGCACGCCGGGGGGCCCGGGGGTGTGGGAGTTGTTGCATGGGGTTTGGTTTTGGCAAGGCTTGTGCTCATGCATCCCTGCATAGCTCGCCTGCGCCGCTTGATTTCGCCGGCCACCCTTCCACTGGGCACTCTCTGTCCGGGGTTTTAGGGTTGAAGGGTTTTAGGGTTGAAGGGTTTTGGGGTTTAAGTGTCTCCCTCTCCTGCCTTCTCCCGTCCCACCTCCAGAACACTGCAGCGACCCAGGAAGAATCCAGCCAGGAAGCAGCCGCCCAAGGCGGCAGCAGCAGCGATGACAAGGCGGAGGAAAGCGAGCAGCTGATAGGCAGCAGCAGCACCAAGGCACCCAGCGATATGGAGGCACAGACGGGCTGTGGTGCTGCGAGTGCTGGTGGGGATGCTGCTACTGCTGGTGCTGCTGATGTTGCTGCTGCAGGTGGTGGTGGTGCGGGCGTGGCGGCCGCCTCTGTGAATGTCAACGAAAGCCGTGTTGACATCCATGACAGCCATGCTGACGTGGACGACACACGTGCTCTGGTCAGCCACATTGCCAGGTGCGACAGTGCCGGACCGGGCTCGGCAGGTCCGAACGGGGCAGGTGCGGACGACGAGGGAGAGCATGGAACGGCAGCAGCAGAAGCAGCAGCAGGGAGAAAGAAGCGCAGCATCGCGGGGGGCATCCAGTCGCTCCCAAAGGCCATCCCCCGCGCCATCACTAAAGCCTTCAAAACCATCGGCTCGTCGGCACTGAAAGGCCTCCAGGGCAGCAGGAGGAAGAGCGGGGAGTTTATCCAGCTGCAGGGCAAGGGCGCCGCTCAGGCTCTTAAAGCCATAAACCTGTCGGCGGCAGCGAAGGCGTCAAGAGCGGCGGTGATGGCAGGGCTGTGGGGCGGGGAGAACAGGGAGCTGCTGCGCAAGGAGTTGATTCTGGACCCGTGGCCCGAGTTTAAGCTGCTGCTTAAGAGGCAGATGCAAGTGAATCTCAGGAACCGGAGCTTCATTGCTGCCCGCCTGCTGCTGGTAAGTGGGAGGGATTTTGTGCAAGCGAGGTGTTTGGGTGCAAGGTTGCTCTGGGAGTGGGGTGGCTTGCTTGCGGTGGGGTCACGTGCTGTTGGGGGGGGAGAGAACAGGGAGCTGCTGCGCAAGGAGCTGATTCTGGACCTGTGGCCTGAGTTCAAGCTGCTGCTTAAGAGGCAGATGCAAGTGAACCTCAGGAGCTCGAGCTTCATTGCTGCTCGCCTGCTGCTGGTGAGAGAGAAGGGTTCTCCCGTCTCCCTTGTCCCTTCTCCCTGCTTCTTTCCTCCCGCCCGCCCTCCCTCTCTCCGCAGGTCACCCTGCTGGGTCTCTTTGTAGGCTTCGATTCTTTCCAGCTTCTGAGGTGCCATCAAATGTCATTTGCTAACGTCCACTCCTCACCCTCCGCCCCTTTCCTTCCTCCCTCCCTCCCTCCGCAGGTCATTCTGCTGGGTCTCATCGGATTCGAAAATTTCCAGCTGCCAGCAGAACCGCCCCTCCTTGGCGCACCTCAAGTTCAACCTGCGGCGGGGGCGGGGGGTGATGCAGATCTCGCTCATCACCATGACAGTCAACAGCGTCAGCCTGCTGCCGCTTGAAAACAGAGACATGTTTCACAGAACCGCCCTCTCACTCTCCCTTTCCCTTCTCCCTTCTCCTTTCCCTCCCTTCCCCAGGTGACCCTGCTGGGCCTCTTTGTGGGATTCGATTTCTTCCAGCTGCCAGCGGACCCACCCTCCTTCGCGCACCTGAACCTGCGGCGGGGGGTGATGCAGATATCGCTGATCACCATGACGGTGAACAACGTGAGCCTGCTGCCCGGCTACATGCTCGAGCGCCAGGTCTACTTCAAACACCGCAGCGCCCGCTTCTTCCGCACGCGCTCCTACGCGCTCTCCCAGTTGATTGCTAGTTTGCCGCTCTCCATTGTTGAGGTGCGTGGGGCGGATTTGAAAAGGAGTGTGCGTGGGGCTCATTCTGAGGCAGCTGAGAATGATTGTGTGGTGTGGTGTGGTGTGGTGGGGTGGGGTGGGGTGAAACGTGGATCCTGAGATGAAATGGAGTTGCCAGCCTGCCAGGTGTACTTCAAGCACCGCAGCGCCCGCTTCTTCCGCACGCGCTCCTACGCGCTCTCCCAGCTCATTGCTAGTTTGCCGCTCTCCATTGTTGAAACTTGAGGTGCGTGCGTGGGCAGGTTTGTGGGTGGGTGGGTGCATGAGTGGGCGGCTGGGTGGGTGAGAGCCTGGGCGGCTGGGTGGCTGGGCGGTTGGGCAGGCAGATGAACAAACAGTGTGCCGTGAGGCAGGAAGGGAGCGTGTTGGGCCGTGCTCGTTCGGTCGGGGGGCGACCATCTGGTTGGTGCTGGTGTATTTCCGCTCGGGCCTCCCCTCCCCCTATCCCCACATCCCTTGCGCTTCCCCCTCCTCCACCATCCCCTCCTCCACCATCCCCTCCCTCCCCCCACAGGCGCTTATCTGGTTGGTGCTGGTGTATTTCCGCTCGGGCCACCCCTCCCCCTATCCCCACATCCCTTGCGCTTCCCCCTCCTCCACCATCCCCTCCCTCCCCCCACAGGCGCTTATCTGGTCGGTGCTGGTGTATTTCCTATCAGGTCTGACTCTCTCCGACTACGGCGCACACTTCTTCATCTTCCTCCCGCACCCTCCGCTCCCCCTCCCTTCCTTCCTGCCCATTCCCCTCCTCCCGTCTCCCTCCTCCCTCCTCCCTCCTCCCTCTTCCCTCCTCCTCTCCTTGAAACTCCCATGCATAACTAACCCATCCCTCCCCTTCCTTCTCCCCGTCCCACCTACAGGCGACCATCTGGTCGGTGCTGGTGTATTTCCTCTCGGGCCTCACTCTCTCGGACTACGGAGCGCACTTCTTCATCTTCCTCGCAGTGCTCTCCCTCGTGGCCATCCACGGGGCCGCCATGATCCGCTTCATCGCCTTCACCTCCCGCACCCTCCGCTCCGCCGCGTTCGCCGCAGCAATCTTCATGGGCCCGGGCATGTTCCTCTTCGGCCACATCCTCGTCGCCAAGGCGCTTATACCGAGTTTCTGGATCTGGCTATACTGGATCAACCCCATGCAGTGGGCGTCGACGGTTCTGGCGATCAACGAGCAGCGGATGTTCGCTCCAGTGCAGTTCTGCCCGGCTCCTGCGCTCGTCCCAACAAACATGCCGTACTGTGTGGGGCGCGAGGGGTGGCCGATCGGCCGAGCTTACATGGAGGAATACAGCTGGAACTACCAATGGGGGTTTATGATTGCAGGGCCGTTTGTGATCCTCGCCTGGATTGCCATTTGGACCGTGGGGACGTATCTGAGCATGCGGCCGCGGCACTACAGCACCTTTGCTGCGCCGGTGAGGGTTCTATCCGAGGCCAAGCGCGGGGAAAAACGGGCTGGTGCGAGGGATGAGGGGAATGGGAAGGGAAATGGGGGAGCGGGTGGGGGATCAGCAACGAGGGCTCTGGAGGCAGTTAAGGCGGCCCTTGGGGGCTCAGGTCAGGAGAGGGGCAGTGGGAAGGAGAGAGCAGCAGCGGGTGAAGGAGAGGGCGGTTCCCAAAAGGAGTCTGCAGGAGCAGGGGAGCAGGGAGGGCAGGGAGAGCAGGGAGGGCTGGGGAGGCAACTGAGCTACCGAGACGTGGAATGGGGTCCTGTCAGTGTGAGGGACAGCGATGGGAGCTCACGGTATGCTGAAACAGCAGAGGAGGCGGCAGCAGCAGCAGCGGAGGCAGCAGGGGCAGCAGAGGCAGCGGTGATAGACTGCAACATCCCCTTCACCCCCTACCTTATCACCTTCGAGAACCTCTCCTGCTCCGTGCCGCTGCCCGGCCCGCCTGAGATCGCCTGGGGTGGGAGGTCTTCGGCTGGCGCTAGTAGGGAGGAGAGGAGGAGGAGCGAGGCCAGCCGGTGCCTGGTGCGGGGGGTGACGGGGTGGGTGAAACCGGGGGAGGTGACAGCTGTCGCGGGCGGCAGGGGCACGGGCAAGACCACTCTGCTCAACTGCCTTGCAGGTGGGGGCAGGATTGTTTGATTTGATTTGAGGCGCCTCTGGCATAGACATTCTCAGACCTGGATATCCATCCCCCTCTTCCTCCCATACTGCCCTAGCTAAAGGCTGCCTCAACCCAGCCAATCCAACTCCTACCATCCCCTCTCTTTCCCTGCTTCCTGCTCCTGCAGGACGCAAGACACCAGGCCAGGTGGTCGGGCGCTTGCTCGTGAATGGCCAGCCAGAGGACCTCCCATCCCATCATCGCTCCTGCGCACCACAGCATACACCCAAGGCTCAGACCTAGCTAATCAGGCCCCTCTTTCTCCTCCCTTCCTCACCCGCAGGTCGCAAGATACCAGGCCAGGTGGCCGGGCGACTGCTGGTGAACGGCAAGCCAAGGGACCTGCCGTCGTTCCTGCGCACCACTGCTTACATCCAAGGCGCAGATCTCTACTACCCACTGCTCACACTCAGAGAGAGCCTGCAGTACCGGACAACACTTACTCTCCCCGACCAAGTACAAGACGAGCAACGCCGCGCGTTTGTGGCGCAGATTTTGTCTCTTATGGAGTTCAAGGGCGGCATGGCGGACTGCCTGGTGCAGGATATTCTGGCGGACGGCGTGGGGTCGGCATATGTGGAGAAGCGGATTGTGTTTGCAATGGAGATGGCGGGGAACCCGAGTGTGGTGTTCTTTGATGCGCCGTTCCTGCGCATGGATACCACTGAGGTGGCGAAATTCTCCGGCATGCTGCAGGTGAGATGAGATGCTTGGGTTGGGTTGGGGCAACCAACGATTGTTGAGGCGTATGTGGAGAAGCGGATTGTGTTTGCCATGGGCTTTAAACCCTGAACCCGAGTGTGGTGTTCTTTGATGCACCGTTCCTGTGCGTGGATAGATACCACCGAGGTGGCGAAATTCTGAGGCATGCTGCAGGTGCGACTCCTGGCAGGTACCCTGTGGCTGCCTGTCTAGGACCTCCTAGGTCATGTTAACTTGCGCAGTGAACTCAATGCAGACCGGGTGTCGTGTTCTTTGATGCGCCGTTCCTGCGCATGGATACGACTGAGATGACGAGATTTTCATTCATGCTGCAGGTGAGTTGAGAGATTCCCAGACAGGGTCTAGGTCAAGGTAGCATGCGCAAGTTAACTCCGTGCGGAGCAGACCGGCCGAGTGTGGTGTTCTCTGACGCGCCGCTCCTTCGCTTGGATGCCACTGAGGTGGCAAGTTTCCAGGCATGCTGCAGGTGCAATGCACGAGTTAGTGTGTTCAATCTGTGGAAGGGAAGATCTGAGCTTGTTTCGTTATGTCAACCCATCACACCATGTCCACTTGTTTCCCCCCATCCCATCCCGTGCTCTCGCCTCCCTCTCTCCCTCCCAACAGCACGTAGCAGCGGCGTGGGGGAGGGCGATGGTGGTGGTGTCGAACGCGGTTACCGCATTCCATCTCAACGCCTTCCACTCGCTGCTCATGCTCGGCAGCGGGGGAGACATGGTCTACTTTGGTCCGGCGGGGAGGAACGGAAATGCTCTTGTGGTGAGTGAGTGAGATGAGGCAGCTTATGAGGTGACTTTTGAGTCGACTAAGAAGCAGCGTATGAGGCATGGTCTCGTGGTGAGTGAGAAGAAGCAGCGCGTGAGTCGGCTCAAAAGTAACAACCCCCAGAAGCAGCAGGGGGAGGATGTAGACGCGCTAGTGGTGAGTGAGGTGCTGCACGCGGTGCGATGCTGCTCGCTTTCTCCTGGATCAGTCAGGACTCAGACTGGGTGGGTCAAGTCAACTGCATGGAGAGCCAAGCCACTCTGATCTCTGATCCAAGCTGTACTACAGACTCTTTTATTTCCATGTGCACCCCCATTTCATCTCAACTCCATGCATCGCCTCCCCTCCCCTGCCCCCTGCAGGAGTATTTCTCGGCCATCCCAGGCACGCCCCACGTGCCAGCCCACACGAACCCCATCATATTCATCGAGAACCTTCTAGGGGACGACACGGCCACGCACCAGCGCTCCACCGCATGTGACTATGCCGTCGAGTACCGCGTCTCAGACCTCGCCATGCTCAACGCCCACCGCCTCTCCGCTCTCAGACGCGGCGGCGCTGCTACTGCTGCTGCCTTTGCTGCCCGCGCCGCTGCTGCAAATATCGAGGCTGCGAAATCTATGGGCAGGGATGCTGCTGCTGCTGGTGCAGCCGCTGCTGGCCGTGCTCGTAGTTTTCGTGGTGCTGGTAATTCTGGTGCTGGGAGTGGTGCTGGTGGGAGGGGACTAGGGGGAGTGGAAGCAGGAGGGGGGGGTATGGAGCACGAGACTGCCAGCATGGCGATGGTGGCGTCTGACTCAGCGTGGTCCCTCGCTGCGCTGGAGCATGAAGAGGCGATCGCAGCCAAGGGGCCAGACGCCCTGACAGGGGCTGTGAGCGGGCTTGACACTGGGGCTGCTTCTGCTGCTGCTGTTGCTGCTGCTGTTGGTCTGACTGGAAGTGGGTCTGCAGAAGGAGAGGGAGATGGAGGGCAGGGCGAAGGAGGGTGGTTGAAAGCCAAGGGCATGATACGACGCCGAGCAGCATCCGCTGCAGCAGCAGCAGCGATAGTATCAAACGCAGCAGAATCACACGCAGCAGCCACAGCAGCCGCAGCAGCAGCAGAAGCAGCAGAAGCAGAAGCAGCAGCAGCAGCCGCAGCAGCAGCGGCAGAAGCAGAAAGCTCCTCCAACAACCCCACCAGCACCCCCAACGAGGAGGCCACACCAGCGGAGCCGCTGCTCCTCGTGCCCGCGCTGCCGCCCGTGGCAGTGAAGTTCCCGAGCCCGTGGCGCAAGCTGATGGCGGTTCAGTACAGCATCCACCTCTTCTACTGGCGCAACACCTCGCACTCCCTCAACCGCATCGTGCAGTCATCCATCCTCGGCCTCCTCATTGGCTCTCTCTTCTACCAGTACCCCGTGCACAACCTGCTGCAGGTGCGTCCGTGAGTGAGCCCCCTCGTTTATTTCTAACTTGAGTGCACAACCTTGGGCTCCTCATCGGCTCGCTCTTCTACCACTACCCCGTGCACAACCTGCTGCAGGTGAGCTTTGAATTTGCACGGCCTCATGGTTCTCCTGCTGCTATGCTTAATGCAGACGTGCAGACTCTTGGTGTTGCGCTGTTATGAGCCGACTCTCTCAGCACGGCTCCTGTGTTTTGCACTGTCTGCCATCTTTGGAGCTTTCTCGTGTCGTGAGGCTTCATAAAAAAGCTACTTCAACGCAGCTCATCAGCTCATGCCCTACACCCCATCCATCCGCACGCAACCTCCCTCCTGCAACAGCCACGAATCTGGTGTTCCCCTTTGCACTGCCTGCCCGTTGAGCCCCTCGAGGGTCCTTTCCACTGCCCGCATTAGCGTGCCCCTCGTGGATCATTCGAGCTGTGCTAATGCTCACCCTTGATTCTCCTCGCGAGGCATTCCAGTCGGGGTGCTCCTGCTCATACAGCAAAAACATCAGGAATGAGCACGAGCATGGCAACTGTATGGGCAAGATCAGGACAGTCTGGAATGAGCACGAGCACCCAGTCGAGGATCATCTGCTCGCTCTTCTGCCTCTCCCTCCCCTTCCACCCGGCACACCCCCCTGCAGGCTACCACTGCCCACGCGTTCCCCTTTGCAGTGCGGGCGTTTTCAAGAGTGATTCCAGTGCGGCTGATCATGCTCGTTTGCTCACTCGTGCCCCACTTCCCCCCCGTCTTCCACGCTCCCTCCCCTCCCTCCCTTCTGCAGGCCACCACAGCGCAGGCGTTCCCCTTTGCAGTGCTGGCGTTTGGCACGACGCTGCACGGAGGCACCGCGGTGGGTGGGGCTGTTCTTGCCCATCTGCTCACTCTTGCACCACTCCATCCCCTTCACCCCGGTACAACAACCCCCCTCCAGGCCACCACAGCGCAGGCGTTCCCCTTTGCAGTGCTGGCGTTTGGCACGACACTGCACGGAGGAACAGCGGTGGGGCTGGTGAATCAGACCAAGAAGGTTTTTGCGCAGGAGCGAGTATACAACCAGCACTTCGCTTTCCTCTACACGCTGGGCTACACCGTGGTTGAGGTGAGAGTGGTTGCCGTTGGTTGTTCGAGGCAGAGTACTGTTCTTGCAGGAGCGCCTCGCAGATCCCCTATCTGCTCCTCACCTCCCTCGCGCTCGTGTCAGTGGCGGCGCCACTGGCAGGCCTGGCAGTGAGCAACGCGGCGCTGTTCTTCTCCTTCGGTCTAACTCAGTTCCTGGCTGCCCTCTCCCCTTTCCCTTCCCCCTCGCAGATCCCCTATCTGCTCCTCACCTCCCTCGCGCTCGTGTCAGTGGCAGCGCCACTGGCAGGGCTGGCGGTGGGCAGTGCAGCGGCGTTTTTCTCCTTCGGTCTAACGCAGTTCCTGGCTGCCCTCTCCGTCACCTACTTTGGCTTCATGCTCTCCGTGGTCCTGCCACAACCCAAGGTGCGCCTCCAACCCAAGGTGCGCCTCCAACCCAAGGTGCGCCTCCAACCCAAGGTGCGCCTCCAACCCAAGGTGCGCCTCCAACCCAAGGTGCGCCTCCAACCCAAGGTGCGCCTCCAACCCAAGGTGTGCCCCAACCCAAGAAGTGCTGCTTTCTCTTACCCTAACCTGCTGCCCTACTAGTGGCCTGGCGGTGGGCAGCACAGGGGGCGTTCTTTGCCTTTGGAAGCACGCAGTTCCTGGCTGCCCTCTCCGTCACCTACTTTGGCTTCATGCTCTCCGTGGTCCTGCCACAACCCAAGATGTGCCATTTTCTTTACTTCTTCAAGCCAAAGGTGCTTCTTTTGTTACACCCTTTTGCTCTCCATCCATTCCCCACACCCACAGTACGCAGCAGTGATGATTTCCCTTCCTCACCACCGCATTGGTGGCCAGTCGCAGATTCTTCCTGCCCCGCGCACTGACAAAAACCCTCATCCCCATCTCTCCCCTATTTTCCCTCACCTTTCTCCCCACACCCACAGTACGCGGCTGTGGACTCCTACCTCACATCACAAGCCATTTTTGAGATATAAAAAAACTCGGCAGTGGTCTTCAACCTCTTCACAAGCCAGTTTTGAGTTGTCTCAAAACTCGATGGTGGTCTCCTAACTCATCACAAGCCATACACCCCTTATCCACCCCAACCCCGGCCCTCCCTTTCCCTCCTCCCCACTCCCCTTACCACAGTACGCGGCAGTGGTGATTTCCTTCTTCATCACGGAGTGGGTGGCGACGTGCGGATTCTTTAACCCACACACCCCTCATCCCCAACCCCAACCTTTTTCCCGATCCTTTCGTGCTCCCCCCCTCCCCACTCCCCTGACCACAGTATGCGGCAGTGGTGATTTCCTTCTTCATCACCGCATGGGTGGCGACGTGCGGATTCTTCCTGCCCTACGCCTTCACCAAAAACTTCTTCCTCGCCGTCTACTGGACCAACCCCGTCCAGGTTCGTTGCACTACTTGTTGGTTCACAGACTGCCATTCAGGTTCGTTGCACTACTTGTTGGTTCACAGACTGCCATTCAGGTTCGTTGCACTACTTGTTGGTTCACAGACTTCCATTCAGGTTCGTTGCACTACTTGTTGGTTCACAGACTGCCATTCAGGTTCGCTGCACTACTTGTTGGTTCACAGACTGCCATTCAGGTTCGTTGCACTACTTGTTGGTTCACAGACTGCCATTCAGGTTCGTTGCACTACTTGTTGGTTCACAGACTGCCATTCAGGTTCGTTGCACTACTTTGTTGGTTCACAGACTGCCATTCAGGTTCGTTGCACTACTTGTTGGTTCACAGACTGCCATTCAGGTTCGTTGCACTACTTATTGGTTCACAGACTGCCATTCAGGTTCGTTGCACTACTTGTTGGTTCACAGACTGCCATTCAGGTTCGTTGCACTACTTATTGGTTCACAGACTGCCATTCAGGTTCGTTGCACTACTTATTGGTTCACAGACTGCCATTCAGGTTCGTTGCACTACTTGTTGGTTCACAGACTGCCATTCAGGTTCGTTGCACTACTTGTTGGTTCACAGACTGCCATTCAGGTTCGTTGCACTACTTGTTGGTTCACAGACTGCCATTCAGGTTCGTTGCACTACTTGTTGGTTCACAGACTGCCATTCAGGTTCGTTGCACTACTTGTTGGTTCACAGACTGCCATTCAGGTTCGTTGCACTACTTGTTGGTTCACAGACTGCCATTCAGGTTCGTTGCACTACTTGTTGGTTCACAGACTGCCATTCAGGTTCGTTGCACTACTTGTTGGTTCACAGACTGCCATTCAGGTTCGTTGCACTACTTTGTTGGTTCACAGACTGCCATTCAGGTTCGTTGCACTACTTGTTGGTTCACAGACTGCCATTCAGGTTCGTTGCACTACTTGTTGGTTCACAGACTGCCATTCAGGTTCGTTGCACTACTTATTGGTTCACAGACTGCCATTCAGGTTCGTTGCACTACTTATTGGTTCACAGACTGCCATTCATGTTCGTTGCACTACTTATTGGTTCACAGACTGCCATTCAGGTTCGTTGCACTACTTGTTGGTTCACAGACTGCCATTCAGGTTCGTTGCACTACTTGTTGGTTCACAGACTGCCATTCAGGTTCGTTGCACTACTTGTTGGTTCACAGACTGCCATTCAGGTTCGTTGCACTACTTGTTGGTTCACAGACTGCCATTCAGGTTCGTTGCACTACTTGTTGGTTCACAGACTGCCATTCAGGTTCGTTGCACTACTTGTTGGTTCACAGACTGCCATTCAGGTTCGTTGCACTACTTGTTGGTTCACAGACTGCCATTCAGGTTCGTTGCACTACTTGTTGGTTCACAGACTGCCATTCAGGTTCGTTGCACTACTTGTTGGTTCACAGACTGCCATTCAGGTTCGTTGCACTACTTTGTTGGTTCACAGACTGCCATTCAGGTTCGTTGCACTACTTGTTGGTTCACAGACTGCCATTCAGGTTCGTTGCACTACTTATTGGTTCACAGACTGCCATTCAGTCAGGTTCGTTGCACTACTATGTTGGTTCACAGACTGCACTTCTTATCCCCCCTTCTCTCTCTTCTTCTTCACTGCACTCCTCCCATCACCCATCCTTCACCAGTGCGGCGTGCGACAGCTGCCCGTGCAAGTGGTACCTCAACCCCATCAGCGGCCCGGAGTATCTCTGGAACTTCCTTCTTGCCACCAAGTCGGCGCGCAGTGCCTCTCCAACTCACCTCCCTTTCTCCATCCCCCTCTCTCCCTCGGCCCCCATCCCTCTCCTCCCCTCTGCCCCAATCCCTTTTCCTCCGTTCTGCCGCCACCCCTCCCATCCCCCTTCCCCCACACAGTACGCCCTGAACGGCCTCACAGCAACAGCCTACTACTGCGACACCTCTGCACCGGAGTGCACTATTCCGGGCTGCCCCGGCACCAGTGCGGCCTGCGACAGCTGCCCGTGCGAGTGGTACCTCAACCCCATCAGCGGCCCCCAGTACCTCTGGGACTTCCTCGTCGCCACCAAGTCGGCGCGCAGTGCTGTGCACTGGGACTGGCTCTTCCTCCTCTGCTTCTGCATCTTCTGCCGAGTTACTGCCTTTGCTGCGCTGCGCTACCTCCGCCACAACCACCGTGCATGAGCTTTAATTTGCCTCAAAACCACCTGCCTTGCCTGCTCTTCCTGCCTTTGCTGCGCTGCGCTTTCTGCGCCATAAGGGCGTGTAACTTTGCTTCGACCAAGTCCAAAATCCGACCAAATGGCCGGATCTGGCGAAAGCGAAACGTGTAACGATTCGGCGAGCCCCGCCAAACATTTCGAGCACAACGACCATTCTGTTCGCCAGAACGCAGAACAACCACCCTAAACCACCCTCGAAATTGGTCGGAAAAGGTTTGATCCCAGTTCCTGCATCGAACTTGGTGTGGAAAATAGTAGGCGCGGGTAGATTAGATTGTTCAGCAAAATAACGGTGGTACGAAAACACATTCGGGGGTGAAAACCGAATGTCGGGCATTGATCTCCTGCTAAGTAGAGGTCCCAACTAGCTTGGTGGGCAAGTTTATATGAAAGAATACCATCCGATTTCTGTCAAGTCAGGGTGACTACAAACTGTTTGCGTAACCCTACATACTTCGCAATCGTCAGAACCGCCCATATGGTTGACCATTTCGTTTGGTCGGAGCAAAGTTACACGCCCTAACCACCGCGCATGAGCATTTGAGGCGCCCCCGCAACCACCATGATACGAGTTGGTTTGCCACATCAGAAATGGCACTGGTAAATAGTGTGAAAGGCCAAGTGTGTTTTGATACATATCTGATTGGGTAGTTCAAATATGTACTGGAGAACTTGGTGGAGCATGACTCTGATGGGGACTACAGTCTACAAGGGTCATGAAAACAAGCCAGCACTATGGCATTTAGTGTAATTTGCTGATGCTTGCCATCGCTTGTTCAATATCGTAAGTATGCTTTGTGGCATTGTGTTAGCTATAAGGGGTACAACAATCACTTGTATTACCACTACTTTTTTATGGCCGGTGTGTTGAGAACTTGAGAGGCATTCTTGCATGATGGTAACTCTGCAATACATTGAAGTGTCATTTTTGGAAGGCCAAAAATTGGTTAGATCGGGTGCAGAGAGATTGCTTGAACAAAGCTGATTAGCCACAAAAGATGTACCTACCACTTCAAATTGTTGTCTGTAGTCTTGGGACCTGTCATTGATGGTACATATGTGACATACCTGTACAGGATAATGTTCTTATTACTGGTAATTGAAAGCTGTTGACAAGTGGCAGTGTCTTGCTGCTGACATACCGGTACCATGACAGATATGTAATGTGCCCAGCTGACAACAGGGGCAGGTCCAGCGCCAAGACTCCCCCCCAACCAACAAGTAGTAACCAGTCAGTCACACCTACACACTCAGTGCAGTAACTTTGTAACCAGCGAGCCTTGCATGCGCCCGAGCGCAGCCCCATCGGGAAACAATGGCGTTTTCACCACCACATAGAACCTCCCTGGCCTCTTTATAAGCTCATCCAGTAACCTGCGCAGCGACTTGCCTGTCGAGTCTACTTGTACACCCCGCGCCTTCCGCACTGTACCCTCTTGCATAAACCCGTACCCCTTGTAACCGCGTAACCGCTGCATGGGCGTCGGGTCAACAGCCAACCACGGAAATGAAAGGGTCGACGGTGCTGTAGTGGTGTACCCTGTATTTGCACTCGAGGTTGCTTGTAGCGAGTCAAAAGAGAGAACCATGTTGGTGTCGCCAGTGCTGTCGCGTTTAGGGTTTCCGCGGTGGATGCTGACTGATAGCGGTACCTCGTTGCGCGACAGTCCCAAGGTGGACGTGAAGAAGCGAACGTTGTATTCATGGTTCCATCTGGTGGGAATTCCAAGTGAGCAGGAAAACGGAAACGAGTAGCAGACCGATCAGATAAATAATGTAGAGAACATAAATGGGATATGCATAAGGCCATGAAAAAGGCTAGAGCAAGGATAGGCTGGAGACCGACGTAAGGAACATCAGAGCTGGCATTGTAGCGTGGGGAGAGGGAGGGAGAGAGGGGTAAGGAACATCAGAGCTGGCATGGATGGTATGAGAAACCAGGAAGGTTCCAGGATGCATGCACCACAAGCGACAACCGTTGCCCCACCCAAACATGCAGGTTATCTTTCGTACCCTGTACAAGCGCACTCACTTGTAGATGTTGATATCGAGCCATCCGTGTGCTCCCTTGTCCCCTTTGGAGGCCGGAACGGCCTTGCCTGTGAGCTTCGCGAATACCTCCCCTGGAAGGAAGAAAAGCCGGGGAAGGGGAAAAGGGAGTCAAGTCGACGCGTTAACCCGCCTTCACCTCAGCCCGCCTTCGGCGCAAGCGACGGGGATGGTTGGTGGCGTGAAACAGTCGCTGTAAATCGTGACACGGCTACCGGTGGCGGGCAGGGCGGAGCGTAGAAGAATGGATGCGGGAATATGCAAAATGGGAGGCCTCACGTGCTTGCAACCAGGACTGCGACAGCGGCGACCAGGACGGCAGAGTCGACAGGGGTGACAGGGGGCGAGGGGAGCTAGAGGGGCCTGCAGGGGCGAGAGGGAACGACAGGGCCGAGAGGGGGGAGAGGGTCGAAAAGGGTGCGGAGCATACTGTAAGGCAGGCCGATGAAGCCGCTGCGCGTGCTCTGCGTGCCCGCTCCGAACTTGGCGGCGTTGAACACGGTCGACACGTTCAGCGCCTTGCGCCACCGGAGCGAGGGCTGCGCCGTCACTCCCAGGGTGGCTGCGCGCCGATGGGACAAGGAAATGAGGGATTTGGCTGTTAGGAATTCGACGAGATGTGGAACGCTGCGCGCCGATTGAACGCCGGCCATGCGGCCACTCTCGGGGTGCTTGCACGATGGAAAAAGGAACCGAGACAGTTGAATGCTCCCCTTTGAGTCGACACATAAGGCCCTGGATGCTCGAAACGGAGATATGAGGCACTGAACACTGCTGCGCGCCGATTGTACTTTCTGACGCACCCCAGGACCGTATGCGGGAAAGGAGGGCAGTTCAATGGGTCGTGTTTTGAGTCGACTCAAAACACGGCCGCATGCGGGAAAGGAGGGCAGTTCAATGGCTCTTGAACCACCTCCGAGGCCCTAAACTCTCTGGAGGATAATTACCCATGCAACAAGTGGTTACCCCTGGGTAGCCTCTGGGGTCACCTGAAGTCAGTTGTGGGGACCGCACCTGAGAGGGCAATGCATGCGAGAAGAATGTTAAGGGCGAGGGAGCGAACAATCAGGCCCGCGTTGCTCGCCATGGATCTTCTGACCGGCCGACACAGTGTTGCCGATCTGAGGGTTCTCAAAAGTGACTCCCAGAGTGTTTCCCGATTTGAGATCGAACGCAAGGCGACTATTAACTCGTATGCAGTTGCTGACGATGGGAGGCAGGGCCTTGTTTAGAATGCTTCTTGCGAATCGTATCAACCACTAAACAGAACTGCTCCCGAGACGTTCGATGTCAATCTGCGAAGTTCGCTTCACAAGCTATGTACACTCGGAGTTTCTGCGTCTTCGAGCTGAGAAGGCGGCTGCGGAATGATAAGCCTGCTCACTCGGTAAGCGTGGGCTGGAGTGTTGTGGAATGTACAGTGCGTCTAGTAGCTTCCTGTTCTGATGTCGCCTTCCCCACTCACAGAGTGGGAAGGACAGAACGAGGAGGGAAGGGTGGTAAAGCATCACTGTCGTCGGAGTGCCAAAACGAAACCTAAAGTACGAAATTGCCTCGCTGACATCGAAGCGCAGGTGTGGTGTCTGGAGCCGCCTGTCAGAAATCGAGACAGGAGACTGGAATCAGCTTGTGCTGGGCGTATTCCCTGAAATGGGCTGAACAAAAGAGGATATCCGATCCGTAACCACGTATTATGAAGGTGGCATAACCACGTCACCCTTCGCTCTCCCCCTCAGCTCTCCGCCATTCGTTTTCTGATTCCCGTGCACTATTCTAAAGGTCTAGCTGTGAGTTGTCACCAAGACACATATGAAAGCTCAAGATCAAGTTCCACACTAAGCGATAACAGCTTAACGGCGTTACAGACAGGTTACAATCCACAAGTACCCCTCAGTCCTTGGAGCATTCTCCAAAGGGGACCGAAGCGTCCAAGCTACCTCAAAACATAATCGTAGATTACTGTCTGCCCAGAATGCCCGGCCAACCGACACAGTAAGCGTTTCCCGCCAATCGCGTTAGTACCAGGAACCCATGCTGATAAGGAACATGGACAATATAACTCGAACTTCAATTGAATGTACTAAAAACATACAGCTTACTCATGTGTACATCACCTCAAGCTGAAAATTACTAGGCCCACAGAAACCACCGCAAGAGAAGTGAAATAAATGCTCTCAACCTGCAAAACAACAGAATTTATCTGCATGGTCAGTGTGCTTGCACAGCATTCAATTGAGCGCTTGTCAACAGAAACAAACTCGCTTGTAGACAGACTTGTTACTCAAAGGCCTCTGACAGAGTTAAAACTCGGAGTTGAAGTCTTTAAGACTCGAAAGCGCGGACTCACAGGCTGGTTAAAGACAAGAGCCGCCACTCCCGCCGCCCAGAGGTCTGATGTGAGGAGGGAGAGGTTGAAGAGAGCGGCACCACCCAGCTGGTTAGATGGGGAAGGGGGAGGGGCAAGGGGCAGGACGAGGGGTGAAGTGAAAGCAGGGAATGAGTCAAGCATGAGAAGATAGTGCACGGTGATGTGAAGTGGTGTTCAGCTTAAGCACACACATGGTAAGCTGGGTGGTGGACAATTGCGTCTCTGTCAAAAAAAGAAAGAAAGAAAGAAAGAAAGAAAAACAACATTCAAATGCACATCGAGCAGTTGTGTGTGGGGAGCTTACACGGAGCATGAGGGGAGTGAGGGAGTAGAAGGCGAAGAGGGCGATCGAGAAGAGCACCATGGGGAGGACCTGTGGTTTGAGTGAGGGGCGGAGGGATGTACAGAGGAGAGAGCGAAGGGTGGCTTAGGAGGAAACATAGATATGCGACATCTGTACACAGAGAATCAATGCGCACATGTGGATGTAAAACAACCAGAAGCTATCCGTAACAGCCAAGCAGAAATTTGCCCTCATATTTTACGTGGGACACTAGCAGCAGGCTGGGGAGCTAGGAAATAGGGTAGCCTTGATATCAGATGAGAAGAGGGATACAAAGAGTATGCAGTTCTAGAACATGTAGTCATCGAGGGTAGGTAGTGAGGGAAAGTAGTGACAGAAAGTAAATGGTGAGAGGAAGTGGTATCCAAGTAAATGGTAAATGGCATACAGTGTGGGCATCGAAGCGCAGGGAGTGCAGGTCTGCTCCTTCTAGGAAAAGACTGCATTGGGCAGAGGGGTGTGAGGGGGAGATGGGCGTGAGGGGAGATGGGTGTGAGAGGGAGATGGGTGTGAGGGGGAGACTGGAGCACGATGGGCAGGTGGAGAGCGCATATATCAGTTTTGAGACACCCAAGAAAAGATCTGGCAGCCTTGAGGCGTCTCAGAACCAATCTAGAGTACACTCATGTAAGGGAACTGACAACTGTGTGTGTGCACACAATGCAATGAAATGCATTGGACAGACGTGCCATGGAATGTGAGGCACATGTGTGTGCACGCAATGCACACACAGACTGATGTATCCATGTGCGATACAAGGGCTGGATAGCGACGATGCTCTCTGAGGCGTGTGATACCAGTGACGTACGGAAACAGTGCGCTTACAGCTGTGTGAAGTGAAGCTAATGAGGCATGGGAAGGGTGCACTTTGATGACAATGAGGGATGAGGACGGGCGCTTACAGCTGTGTGAAGCTAATGAGGGATCCAGCGCAACCAATGAAGGCCAGCAGCTCTGTTGTCTCGACTCGATGAGCCAGGTACTCCTGAGAGAGGTGAGGGATAAGAGAAAGGAGATAGAGAGGTTTTCACCACACAATTACCACACACTCTCCATACACTCACCACACACTCACCACACACTCACCACACACTCACCACACACTCACCGCACACTCACCACACACTCACCACACACTCACTGCACACTCACCACACACTCACCACACACTCACCTCACACTCACCTCACACTTACCACGCACTCATTGCATGCATTGGAAACGGAGTGTAAAGCGGCTCTAGAGGCACCTCAAAAGTCACCATAGAGTCTAAGGCACATTGAAACGGAGCATGCAATGACTTCTGAGACGCCTCAGGACTCACCACAGTCACATTGGAAGCAGCATATAGAGTAGCACCGAGAAGCACAAGCACATTGCCCAGAGTCGCGTTGCTGCTGCTGCCAGTGGCTGTGCTGCCTCCGTGCTTGGAGGGACCTGAGGGTGAGGAAGGGCAGACGGGAGAAGAGGGGAGGAGAACGTGGGAGAATGACGGAGGGAGGATAGCTGCCTGGGAACTTTGCTGGTGGGAGCGTTGCTACAGGAGGGATGGGTGCTGGGAGCATGGGTGCAAAGGTGCAACGGGTTGCTGTTGTGAACACCCCCCCCCTCCCCACTTCCCCTGCCCCCCCCTTCACTACTCTCTCCCCCCCCCCTTTCCCTACTCCCAGTCAGCCCTCACCTGCGCTGAAGAGAGTTGTTGAGAACCCGCTGTTTGAGAAACCTAAAAAACAGCTGTTCAGCACCCACTGCCAACAGAACCTCTCAGTTCTCACATGCATCAGAGAGCAACAGCATGGCGAGGCCGATGCCAGCAATGGTGGCAGAGCGCGGATGGCACGGCAGGCATGGTAGCATGTGAAGTGGAGAGGCAGAAGGATGCTAGGGTAGGTGCACACCCCCTCACCTTCTGCTGCCGGAATAACCCCCTCAGTTTCTCACCTGCATCAGAGAGCAGCTGCATGGCGAGTCCAGCAGTGCAGAGCCGAGCGCCGATGACTTGGGGGGGGTGGTAGCGCGTGGAGAAGCAGACGGGGTTCTAGGATAGGAAGAAAAACATTTTAGCTCTCACCTGCATCGGAGAGAAGCAGCATGGCAAGGCCAGCAGTGCACAGCAGCGCGCCGGTGACATGGGAGGCGTGGTAGCGCGTGGAGAGGCAGAGCGCCGCCAGCAGCATGGCTGCTGGGATGGCCCAGCAGTCGAGCAGAGTGACTCGCGTCAATGAGGTGAAGCGGAAGGCGAGCACGACTGGATGGGGCAGGGATAGAGTGGGGATGCAAGGAAAGAGATGAGACGAATGGCAGCAAGGGTCGATGAGAGAGAGATGGCCCAGCAGTCCAGGAGAGTGGCGCGGGTCAATGAAGTGAAACGGAAGGCGAGCAGGACTGGAGCGAAAGGAAAGGAAAAGCCGAGACGTCGCAAGTGCAATGAGAAGGAAGGAAGGATGAGAGGGAGATGAGATGAGAGGGATCGAGAGGCCAATGGGATCAGCACAAGGCACGCACTGACCAAAGTAGTTCCCTTCAACGTCAAGAAAGGATGCGAGCAGGATCACACGCCACGGAACCTGAATGGGTGCATGGATGGATGGTGAGTGAGTGCGGGGAGGAGGGCACACAGATTCATGGTGCCTGGAGGCGCTTTGAGAGAGCAGTTGACTTGTTGGTAGACTAGACGGTCAGAATGTATTTTGTGAAAACAGTTGAGAGGCAATCAGGAGGATTATAAAAAAGGTTGTACTCAGAAAAGGGTTTCCCGAGGCGCCTTAGAAGTCAATCACGAAGGTAGCCCAGGAGTGTCGAGTGAGTCTATAGTGAGGAGGACATCTAAAGAGAAGAGCGGTAGTAGTGAGTCGAGAGTGCGTATAGCAAGACCTTTAAACACAGCGAGTTGTCGTTTGAATTATTAAACGAAAGCCTTACAGCGCGGGTTGCCGTTTGAATGATTGAGAAAGGCCTTACAGTGAGGGGTGCCTTGCGGTGCAGCAGCACGGCGCCATACACGGCAGCAAGCAGCACGTAGTTGAGCAGCGATTGGGTTGTTGGGATGCTCACTCCTGCCACGTGGCAACCATCCAAGCCACCAATCAGGACCTAAAACGCCATGAGCCAGGACAAGCTGACGCATCAACTGCATGCACAAATCGCAAACGTCCATGTGTCATCATGCCAGCGCACCTCGAGCGGCCAGCAGGGCGGAACACGTGGCAGTGACGGTGAGCAGCAGCGACATGAGCTGGCCGAGGGCCAGGGCTTTGAGCCCGTCCCGCGAATACACCCACCGCCACTCGTCCCACGCGCACAGCCCTCCAGACCCTGCAATGCTCCCTGTCGTAGTAGTTATCGTATACTCGGTAGTGGTAGTCCCTGTAGTAGTCCCTGTATCAGTCCCAGTAGTACCCCCTGTACTTGACGCCGTAGTTCGTCCTATGGCTGTGACGGAATCCCCATGACCATGACCCACATCCACTGGTAACCATGACCATGACCATCCCCACGACTGCTCCCCCTTCGTGGAAGCTTCCTGAGAGTCCACGTCGTCGAGAACGACTGCCGTTACGTGACCAGGACAGGCGTTGCGTTCTGTGAACGGCTGTGCCACGTGGCAGGCAATCGTCGATCCCGTGGTACAGTCGTTACTGACGGCGGTGGGCTCTGATCGTCGATCCCAAGGTTCGAGTAACGCTTCGACGATCGGGGTACGTGCAAGGTCGCAACAGTCTCGCGAAGAGCGACGGACATGGTCTGGGGATTGCCGAGAGGATACGGGAGAGCGGATGAGGGGTGAGCATTCGTCGTGCAATCCGTCGTCTTCCATGGGGGACGGGCTGCACGAGGCAAGATTGACGATGCAATGACGCGTCACTCGGAGAATTCTACTCTCATACCTTGACGATATTTTAGTACCTTGCGAAGGGTTCTGACGAGGCGCAGAGTGACAGGACTAATCTCCTCCCTTACAGTCAGGGAGGGTTGACCATGGTAAGCGACAGCAAATTCTCAAACACAACGATCAATATACATAAGTGTTTTGTATACGAATGAGAGTTCCTACTGATACTATAGATTTGTAACCTTAGTTATCATAAACAAATCGATAGAAAAAAGACTGAAAGGCAGTAATATAAGAATTGGGGCATCTCACAAAACGGAGCATTCCTGATTTATGAACTATGTTTACCAGCACTTTTGTGGTGGCTTGTGGTGTACTAACTTCCAGAATCTGAAATCTTGCTACAAATGTATCAGTTCGACTCTTAGACTGTGCCCTTTTTTTGGGATGTCCGCACGACCGAGCGATAATTCGAGTTCCTCCGATCCGACTGTCTGTAGGTTCTCGCTATTCTCTTTCCGTTTCCTAGTCAGCTTTCTTGCTTTGACGCGTTTCATCACTTCAATTTTAACACCATACAGACGTTCGCTTCATTGACACCTAATTGGACGCGAATAGTTTTGTCTGACATCCCGATCAAGTTAGCCCTACCGAAAGCTTCTTACAATCCTGCGGATTCCACCATGCTCTCCGGATTTTCCGGGCAGGTTTCTCGACTGGAAGGGTCAGAAGAGACGCTCAAAGGATCGAATCTCGGTGAAGGAGATGACGGTGGGGGGGGAGGCCTACAGAAAGGGGGGCTGCAGAGAGGAGGGTTGCAGCCGGCAGCCGGGCTGGGAGGAGAGCGATTGCTCTTTAAAGCCCCGGCCGAGCGAAAATCTGTTTTGGGTGAGGCGGCGCGCCGTTTATGACACTTTTTAGTCTAAGCTGTGTCGCGGATTCATAGGTCTGCAATGGGTCCCAGGGTTGCTTTGCATGAGTTGTCTTGGTAAGGCCCGTGGTAGGTCTGGTGCTTCTTGTTACAATTGTGTACAGTGGCATGGTCTCGTTTATTTATTTCGGCTAGTCAGTGTACAGTGGTAGGATTGTATTTAGCAGAATGTGGCGCCGTTATTTGTTCTTAGCTCCTCTTCTGCCTTCTGCTTTCTAACACCCACCTCCCCCGCCCACCCCTCTTCCCCCACCTACCTCCGTCGGCAATCCCCAGGTTTGGACGCGCTCGCCCGAGCCAAGCGAGCAGCCGCGGGAATCCCGGAGAAACCGCCGGTCACTGTAGCAGCGGCTAGATTCGCGGAAGAGGGGGAAGATGAAGGGGAGAAGGCGGGGGGCGAGGGGAAGGAAGGGGGAGGCGGGAAGTTTGTAGCCGACGGAGACGATGGGGGAGGGGGTAGAGGGGATGGAGAGGGAGTGGGAGGAGGGAGTGTGGGAGACAAGAGCGGTGGAGGGGGGAGCAAGGAGAGGCGGCGGTATCGTATGGCGCGAAATGTTGATACGCCCACACACGTGTCAACGGTTACAGGTGAGTCACCGTGTCCCGTCATGCTACCTGCCACCTGGCCGATTTCCATGCCACCTGGCCGATTTCCATGCCACCTGGCCGATTGTCATGCCACCTGGCCTATTCTAATATTTACCCGATTTACCATCCGCATAGCACCTGAGCAGTTCTCTGTTTAAACCCATGCCCTCCGCCCACCCAACCCAACCATATGTTTCCCCCCCCACCAGACCTCTCAGGCGCCTCCCCCCGGGTGCAGGATTCCCCGCGTGGCACCTCCTCACATGCGGACAGAGATTCACAAGCGGACACAGCTGCTGGTGCACGCGAGGTATGCTTGTTCCGTATGCTGTGGCGCACATGGTGATTATAGTGCCGCCCACATGCAGACAGGGATACGCGACGTATGTCTGTCTCGTATGGTGTGGTGCACATGCATCATGCATGCATCTCTCTTGAGCATGGTGCATGCACCTGGTGAGTGTGTGGTGCTGCCTTACATGCGGACAGAGTCACACGAGGGGGCACTGCTTCTGGGGATGGGGCAACGGAGGCACGTCCAGTCCAGACACACCCAGTTTAGACACGGCCGTCAAGTCACGGTTTTGTGAAAGATTGTGACCGAATATACAAGTTCTGTTACTTCAGAGTATGATCTAAACTGCCTTTCTTCCTCTCCATCTCTTCCTCCTTCACTCTCTCCCTCATTCCCCTCTCTTCCTCCTTCCGTCTCCCCCTCCCTCCCCACCCCACCACATCCTTCTCCCAATGCAGGCTGACGAGGCAAGCCGAGGCGCTAAAAGAACGCGAGTGGAGCCTGCTGACGTGGCAAATGGTGGTGCTGACAAGGCGGTTTCTGCTAGTTTGGTGACCAATGGAGGAGGTGGGTGTCAGTCAGGAAAGGAGGTTGCTCAGATTGGTGATCTAGATTCGGTGTAGCCTGAAAACCTTGTTGTGAAGTGAACCTGACTTGTGAAGGGCCTGAAAATTTTGCGCAGTAAGATGGAAGGCATCAATACTGCGCAAGCCTGCCAGTCAGTTTTCAAGGATTTAATGTTTTCTGCTGTGCTCCAGTTTTATTGTTCCGTTTTCTTTATTTCTTCCTCTTTCTTTCCACCCCTGTTGCTCTCTGCACTTCCTACTTGTTGATTCTAAGCTACAGATGTGGGGAGCAGAGGAGACGCGGATGGGAAGAGAGGGGATGGGGAGAGAGGGGAAGGGAGAAGGGGGAGCAGGTGGGACTCGAGAGACAGCAACAGGAGAGACAGGGGTAGGGAGGGGGATAGGGAGAGGGACAGTGAGAGAGACAGAGAGAGAAGGGGAGGTGAGCGGGGCAACAATCGTGGCCAGGACAGGGACTATGACAGGGGCTCATATCGCCACGGTGAGTGTGCGGGGGTTTGGGGTGAAAGGGGAGAAGGAAGCAACGTTCTGTATTGGACAGCGTTCCACCTAACCTTTGTATTTGGGTTAGGAGTTCCCAACACTGTCTCGAACTGATAGATCGTCATATGCTGCTTTGTCCACTGCAGCCATAGTCTCCTAATTGAACAACCCCCCCCCCGCTGCTTGAAGAACTCATTTTTTCTCCGTTCTTCCCTCTCGTCCCATCAGGCTCCTCCAGATCACGCTGGGACGACAGCACCCCGCGGAGAGACAATGACAGCACACCTGGCAGGGAGGGCAGGGACAGAGACAGAGACAGGGACAGAGGCAGAGACGGAGACAGAGAGAGGGGCAGCACGCCACGCAACAGGGGCTCTAAGTGGGACATGCCGTCGCCCTCGCCCTCCCCCCGCTGGACCCCCTCCCCCGCCCCCTCCCCCGCGCCGTACCGCCGCGAGCCGTCCTTTGTGCCGCCGTCGCCCTCTGACTCGCGCCTGCTGTCGCCCTGGGATGGCGGAGGGGGCAGCACGCCCTCTGTTGGGGGTGAGTGCGCTTGGGTCTTTGTATGAGTGAGTGTTCGTGCCTCTCGCTTCTTCTCCTTTGTGCCGCCCTCGCCCTCTGACTCGCGCCTGCTGTCGCCCTGGGATGGCGGAGGGGGCAGCACGCCCTCTGTTGGGGGTGAGTGCGCTTGGGTCTTTGTATGAGTGAGTGTTCGTGCCTCTCGCTTCTTCTCCTTTGTGCCGCCGTCGCCCTCTGACTCGCGCCTGCTGTCGCCCTGGGATGGCGGAGGGGGCAGCCCTCTGTTGGGGGTGAGTGCGCTTGGGTCTTTGTATGAGTGAGTGTTCGTGCCTCTCGCTTCTTCTCCTTTGTGCCGCCGTCGTCCTCTGACTCGCGCCTGCTGTCGCCCTGGGATGGCGGAGGGGGCAGCACGCCCTCTGTTGGGGGTGAGTGCGCTTGGGTCTTTGTATGAGTGAGTGTTCGTGCCTCTCGCTTCTTCTCCTTTGTGCCGCCCTCGCCCTCTGACTCGCGCCTGCTGTCGCCCTGGGATGGCGGAGGGGGCAGCACGCCCTCTGTTGGGGGTGAGTGCGCTTGGGTCTTTGTATGAGTGAGTGTTCGTGCCTCTCGCTTCTTCTCCTTTGTGCCGCCCTCGCCCTCTGACTCGCGCCTGCTGTCGCCCTGGGATGGCGGAGGGGGCAGCACGCCCTCTGTTGGGGGTGAGTGCGCTTGGGTCTTTGTATGAGTGAGTGTTCGTGCCTCTCGCTTCTTCTCCTTTGTGCCGCCCTCGCCCTCTGACTCGCGCCTGCTGTCGCCCTGGGATGGCGGAGGGGGCAGCACGCCCTCTGTTGGGGGTGAGTGCGCTTGGGTCTTTGTATGAGTGAGTGTTCGTGCCTCTCGCTTCTTCTCCTTTGTGCCGCCCTCGCCGTCTGACTCGCGCCTGCTGTCGCCCTGGGATGGGGGGGGAGGTGGTAGCACGCCCTCTGTTGGTGGTAAGTCCGTGTGGTGTGGGTCCATGTATCTGTGGATATGTGTGCATGTGCGTGTATGTTTGTGCGTATGCGTGTGTGTGCCTCCCGCTCCAGCTCTGCTGTGCCGCCCTCGCCCTCTGACTCGCGCCTGCTGTCGCCTTGGGATGGCGGAGGGGGCAGCACGCCCTCTCTCGGGGGTGAGTGTGCTACTGCTAGGGTCTGTCTTTGTGTGTGGGTTTTTGGTCGGTGTTGGTTTATAAAGAGACTATTGGTCTCACTCATTGCATTTCCCTCCCTCCCTCTGTCCCTCTTTATGTCGCTCCGTCTGTATTGTGATCTGGACGATCACATCTGCCCTCTTTCCACCCCCCTTACCCACTCTGCCCTCTCTGCCCTTCGCAAACTCCTTCTGGGTGGTACCTTGCCTTTGCTGCTTGAGCACATGAATTCCATGTGTGTTGCCTTTCGAGGTGACTTTTGAGTCGACTCAAACGTCACCTCCTTCTGAGAGCCTTTGCTGCTTGAGTACATGAATTCCTCATTCCACACATGGAATTCCATGTGTGTTGCATGAATTCTCTTCCCCAAGCTTCTACTCACCCCTCACTCCACCGCCCTCTCGTCTCCCCTCATTCTCACCCTCTTCGCCCACCATCCTTTACCTTCCTTCTCCCTCTCCTTCCTTGTTCCTCACCCAAACGGTCCTTTGTATTATGTCAGCCATGGTGGTCCAGCACCTCTTCTATCAACCCCCAACCTTGTTTTCTGACCCTTAACTTCGTATTCCACTTCTCCACTTCTCCACTTTCCCACTTCCCCTTCCGCCAGGGTCAGTGTGGGATCTCCCATCCCCATCTCCCGTACCTGTAAGGGCAGGCTCGGCCACGCCTGTCTCGCAGGGTCGGGACGGGGAGGAGAGGGAGGGAAGCGTACAAGCAGAGGGGGGCAGGGCTCGGCGGTCGCACAAGCTTCGGTTCCGAGCCGACTCGTCAGCTTCGGAGGGCGGTGCGAGCACAAGCCGAAGCACAGCGGGAGGCCAGGTGGGGCATTTAAGAATACGTGAGGGGGAGTTTTGGAGGGGTTTCCAATTCAGGTTGTGCTTTGGAGACCATTATCAAAACACTGTGGGAGGGCGGAGGCTAGGTGGGTCATTCAGGGAGCTAAGATGCTGGGGGTGGTGGGGGGAGGCCGGCCTAGTGCGACATTTGGGGGGAAAGGATGAAAGCATCAGTTTAATTTCGAGGCGAATGTTCAAGATCAGATGGTGTTGCTGAAGCACAGTGGGAGGCAACAAGGTGGGATAGTGAAGTGAAGGGGAATGGAATGGGATGAGGGATGAGGGGGCTGATTGTGAGGTGACTCTAGGTGAATGACTGACTGTTGTCCTTTCGCTGTTTCCCTTGTGTCTACTGGTTCTTTCTTCTGATGCTGCTTCCACACGTTGGCCTGCTGCTGATTGATTGTGAGGGGGGCAGGGGGAGGGTAGATAGTGTATCTCCGCTTGCTGCACTGCACCTCTTGAATCTCTGCTTATTTCAGTCCTGCTCGTTGTGTGTCTCTCCCCCCACCCTCCCTCTCCTCCATTTCGCCCCTCAACCTTTGGATACACTCCTTCCCCCACCCCAGGCGGCATCGCAGCAGCAGGAGAGCGAGTGGGACACAGACTACCGTGCTGGGAGGGGGCCGGGGGAGGAAGGGGGGGCAGGGGCGGAGGAGGATGAGGGCTTGCGCCGGGAGATGGAGGAGGCGGAGAGGCAGGCCGACCGGTCCTGGTGAGTCAGGTGTTTGGGTTTGTGGTTGAAGGTTTCAAAAGGAAATCAGAGTGGCCAACGTCGAAACGGGATGTGCATGGTAGCAGGCGGGAGGAGGATGAGGGCTTGCGGCGGGAGATAGAGGAGGCAGAGAGGCAGGCCGACCGCTCCTGGTGAGTAGAGTGTCTGGTGTTGTCCGGGGTGGGGGTGTTGAATGGGAAGAAGAGGGGACGAGGGGGGACGAGGTCGAAATGGAGACGTGCATGACAGGGGAGGAGGAGGAGGATGAGGGCTTGGCGCAGGCAGATGGAGGAGGGGGAAAGGCAGACTGATCGGCTCTCGTGAGTGTGTTTGACATATACACACCTCCTCGCCTCCCTAAACATCTCACCAAAGCCCCCAGATATGATTTCGAGGAGGCAGGCAGTGTGTTTGACGCCCTTTCCCTGCCCAGCCTCTTTCCCCACTTGAAACACTCACAAATCCCCCCTTCCCCGTTCCCTCGCGCTCCCAGGTACGACTTAGAGGAGGCGGGCAGTGTGTTTGACTCGGGCGAGGGCGCCAACCCGTTTGGAGGGTTCGGCGACGAGCAGGCCTTTGAGAAGGAGGAGCGCAAGAAGGAGGCGGCCGCGCGGCAGCAGCGCATGGTGCGGGGTGATGGGTCAACCATGTCTCTGGCGGCCAGCAAGCGCCTCACCCAGCTGTCCTCCATCTCCCCCTCCCTCCATTCCGCCCTCTTTCCCTCGATTCCTTCCGCCCTCCCTCCCCCGTCCCCCCTCCCCTCCTCTATCTCCCAGGTACGACTCAGAGGAAGCAGGCAGCGTGTTCGATTCAGGAGAGGGAAGCAACCCGTTTGGAGGATTCGGCGACGAGCAGGCCTTTGAGAAGAAGGAGGAGCGCAAGAAGGAGGCGGCCGCGCGGCAGCAGCGCATGGTGCGGGGAGACGGGTCAACCATGTCGCTGGCGGCCAGCAAACGCCTCACCCAGCTGTCGGCGGACCAGGCGTCGTGGGAGGACAGGCAGTTGATGCGGTCGGGAGTGGTGCGGAGCTCTGTGGAGCTCTCCACGGATATTGATGATGAGGATGAGAACCGCGTGCTGCTGCTCGTGCATGGTGAGTGTCTGGAGTGGCTTAGTACGGTGTCTATTAATTCACTCGAAAGCAGCAATGCCATGGCGCTCTTTACTCCACGGGTACCAATGACGAGGATGAGAACTGCGTGCTGCTGCTCTGCTTGTGCACGCACGGTGAGGTCGTGTTTTCTCGCGAGCGATTATTGAGAAATGTAGAAAATTAGTCGTGCACGATGCGATCGAGTATCCTGCGACTCGTGAGAGTATAAGAGGCGGATTTGTACATCCCGCTTTGTGCTTAGCGAGTCTCTCCTCTCTTCTTCCATCTATTTACTCGTCATTTCATCCCATAGGTTCTTCAGCATGACTACTTGCGCTGGGCTGAAGGGGCTAAGAAGAGTGCGAGAACTTGTGTGTGACCTGCTCTAATAAAGTGTCCCCGCCCTTTCCCCATATGTGCTCGTGCAGACACGAAGCCACCGTTCCTGGATGGGCGAATAGTGTTCACGAAGCAGCAGGAGCCGGTGATGCCCGCCTATGCCCCTTTTTCCCTCCCTCCCCCCTATATGTGCTCGTGCAGACACGAAGCCGCCCTTCTTGGATGGGCGCATAGTGTTCACGAAGCAGCAGGAGCCGGTGATGCCGCTCAAGGACCCCACTTCTGACATGGCCATCATCGCCCGCAAGGGCTCTGTTCTCGTCAGAGAGGTGCGTGCATGCGTGGTACTGGTAGGGTGTTAGCAGTGAGGGTATTGGTCAGGGGTGTGCTGCGCTGGTCATTTACTGCTAGAAAGGAGCCGAGCCGGTGATGCCGCTCAAGGACCCCACATCCGACATGGCCAACATTGCTCGCAAGGGCTCAGCTCAGCTCTCGTTAGAGAGGTGCATGGGTGGTGACAGGTGGGGTATTAACAGTGAGGTTAACCGTCAGTCAGATTTGTGCTGTGCTGGTGAAGGTAAGGAGCCGTTGTGATGCCGCTCAAGGACCCCACGTCCGACATGGCCAACATTGCTCGCAAGGGCTCAGCGCTCGTCAGAGAGGTGTGTGCGTGGGTGGTAATGGTGGGGTATCAGCAGTGAGGGTAACGGTCAGTCAGGTTTGTGCTGTGCTGGTGAAGGTAAGGAGCCGGTGTGATGCCGCTCAAGGACCCCACCTCCGACATGGCCAACATTGCTCGCAAGGGCTCAGCGCTCGTCAGAGAGGTACGCGCATGGGTGGGAACTGTAGAGGATTAGCAGTGAGGGTGATGGTCAGGGGTGTGCTGTGCTGGTTATTTATTGCCAGGAAGCAGCCGGTGATGTCGCTCAAGGACCCCACGTCCAACATGGCCATCATCGTCAGAGGGGTGTGCGAGTGGTGATGTCGGAGAGGAGAGGGGCCTGAGGGTTGTGTGTTCACTTTTGAGTCGACTCATGAGTCGACTTGACTTTTGAGTCGACTCAAAAGGACCCCACGTCTGACATGGCCATCATCGTCAGAGGGGTGCGCGGGTGATGAAGTCGGAGAGGGGCCTGAGGGTGGTGTGTTCACTTGTGCCATTTTTACCCGAACTCAGTGCAACTGAATGGATGTGCGTGGAGTTTCACCTGCAATGGATATCCATGGAGTTTCACCTGCTATGGATGTCCGTGGAATTTGCTGGGTAACCCTCAGTGCAAGGAGTTGTCTTCAAATGTGCCTGTTTCTCACCATCCAATGTCCTGTGTTCCTGTCCTGCCCGCCCTCCTGTTCGCGCACAGATCCGGGAGAAGCAGCAGCAGAACAAGAGCAGGCAGAAGTTTTTTTGAGTCGACTCAAAACTTCTCACTTTCCATTTTCCTGCGCTCCTGTCCTGCCTGCTCTCTTTTGCCCGTGCAGATCCGGGAGAAGCAGCAGTCGAACAAGAGCAGGCAGAAGTTCTGGGAGCTCGCTGGAAGCAAGCTGGGGAACATTCTCGGCGCCAAGAAATCTGCAGCTGATGTGAGTATCATAGGCATTCAAGCATGCATGGGAATGTGGGAATGCGAGTGGATGGGTGGACATCAGTGACGTGAAGTATGTAGGTGCTGCAAGCACGTGGCACGCGTGTGGCATGCACATGCCACCTGCGACGCGTCACGTGTCGCATGCTACATGCGGTATGCCATATCATATCATGCCACATTCCAGACACCAAATGACACATGCAACTTGCAACATGCCACACGCACGCACACACACACACACACACGCCACATGCCGGGTGCTTCATTTTGACGAATGTTTCTATGAAACGAACTCAAACCCTTTCATGCTGCCCTTCACAGGATGCAGACGTGGACGAGGAGGGCGAGGTGGACTATAGGGACCATATGAAGTGCACCGGTGAAGCTGCCCCCAAGCCCTCAACCTTCTCTTTTCAAGTTCAACCCCACACCCACATTGATTCTGCCAGGTGGATGCAGACACGGCAAAGGTGGACGCGGAGGGCGAGGTGGACTATAAGGACAATGTGAAGTGCACAATCGCAGCCCTAATCCCCTGAACCTTCAACCCTTAAAAACCCCAAACCCTCATGCTGCCCTCCCCACCAGGTGGATGCGGATACAGCCAAGGTGGATGCGGAGGGTGAGGTGGACCGTAACGACAATGTGGATTTGGCAAACTGAGCCTTCAGGCCCTGAACCTTCAACCTTCCAAAACATCCAAACCCTCATGCTGCTCTCACACCAGGTGGATGCAGACACGGCGAAGGTGGACGCGGAAGGTGAGGTGGACTATAAGGACAATGTGAAGTTCGCCGACCACATGAAGGGCACGGGCGGCGCTGCGCTGCCTCTCTGCACCCTCAACCCACCTTCCATTGTAACCCAAACACGCACTATGATCCCACCAGGTGGACGCGGATACGGCCAAGGTGGACGCGGAGGGCGAGGTAGATTACAAGGACAATGTGAAGTTTGCCGACCACATGAAGGGCACGGGCGGTGCTGCCAGTGACTTTGCCAAGAACAAGTCCATTGCCGAGCAGCGCATGTACCTGCCCATCTACTCCGTGCGCGACGAGCTGCTGCAGGTGAGAGTCACCACTGAGTTTTGAGACGTCTCACTCACAGCGCGTGCACCTCGTCAAGTCGATAGCGGAGCAGCGCATGTACCTGCCCGTCTACTCCGTCCGGGACGAGCGTTTACAGGTGAGAAAGCCCCTGCAGGTGTGTCTCGTGGTGTTGACTTACCTCACAGCACATGCACGCACCTCTTCAATTCCATCGCGGAGCAGCGCATGTACCTCCTCATCTACTCTGTGCGGGATGAGCTCCTGCAGGTGAGTGAATGACCACAAGGCTTGAGGGATGTCACTGTGCTTGTACCTCTCCCAGTCCATTGCCGAGCGCCGCATGCACCTCGTCTCCTCATCTCCTCGCCTCTCACTCATCTCCTCGCCTCTCACTCATCTCCTCGCCTCTCACTCATCTCCTCGCCTCTCACTCATCTCCTCGCCTCTCACTCATCTCCTCGCCTCTCACTCATCTCCTCGCCTCTCACTCATCTCCTCGCCTCTCACTCATCTCCTCGCCTCTCACTCATCTCCTCGCCTCTCACTCATCTCCTCGCCTCTCACTCATCTCCTCGCCTCTCACTCATCTCCTCGCCTCTCACTCATCTCCTCGCCTCTCACTCATCTCCTCGCCTCTCACTCATCTCCTCGCCTCTCACTCATCTCCCTCGCCTCTCACTCATCTCCTCGCCTCTCACTCATCTCCTCGCCTCTCACTCATCTCCTCGCCTCTCACTTCATCTCCTCGCCTCTCACTCATCTCCTCGCCTCTCACTCATCTCCTCGCCTCTCACTCATCTCCTCGCCTCTCACTCATCTCCTCGCCTCTCACTCATCTCCTCGCCTCTCACTCATCTCCTCGCCTCTCACTCATCTCCTCGCCTCTCACTCATCTCCTCGCCTCTCACTCATCTCCTCGCCTCTCACTCATCTCCTCGCCTCTCACTCATCTCCTCGCCTCTCACTCATCTCCTCGCCTCTCACTCATCTCCTCGCCTCTCACTCATCTCCTCGCCTCTCACTCATCTCCTCGCCTCTCACTCATCTCCTCGCCTCTCACTCATCTCCTCGCCTCTCACTCATCTCCTCGCCTCTCACTCATCTCCTCGCCTCTCACTCATCTCCTCGCCTCTCACTCATCTCCTCGCCTCTCACTCATCTCCTCGCCTCTCACTCATCTCCTCGCCTCTCACTCATCTCCTCGCCTCTCACTCATCTCCTCGCCTCTCACTCATCTCCTCGCCTCTCACTCATCTCCTCGCCTCTCACTCATCTCCTCGCCTCTCACTCATCTCCTCGCCTCTCACTCATCTCCTCGCCTCTCACTCATCTCCTCGCCTCTCACTCATCTCCTCGCCTCTCACTCATCTCCTCGCCTCTCACTCATCTCCTCGCCTCTCACTCATCTCCTCGCCTCTCACTCATCTCCTCGCCTCTCACTCATCTCCTCGCCTCTCACTCATCTCCTCGCCTCTCACTCATCTCCTCGCCTCTCACTCATCTCCTCGCCTCTCACTCATCTCCTCGCCTCTCACTCATCTCCTCGCCTCTCACTCATCTCCTCGCCTCTCACTCATCTCCTCGCCTCTCACTCATCTCCTCGCCTCTCACTCATCTCCTCGCCTCTCACTCATCTCCTCGCCTCTCACTCATCTCCTCGCCTCTCACTCATCTCCTCGCCTCTCACTCATCTCCTCGCCTCTCACTCATCTCCTCGCCTCTCACTCATCTCCTCGCCTCTCACTCATCTCCTCGCCTCTCACTCATCTCCTCGCCTCTCACTCATCTCCTCGCCTCTCACTCATCTCCTCGCCTCTCACTCATCTCCTCGCCTCTCACTCATCTCCTCGCCTCTCACTCATCTCCTCGCCTCTCACTCATCTCCTCGCCTCTCACTCATCTCCTCGCCTCTCACTCATCTCCTCGCCTCTCACTCATCTCCTCGCCTCTCACTCATCTCCTCGCCTCTCACTCATCTCCTCGCCTCTCACTCATCTCCTCGCCTCTCACTCATCTCCTCGCCTCTCACTCATCTCCTCGCCTCTCACTCATCTCCTCGCCTCTCACTCTCATCTCCTCGCCTCTCACTCATCTCCTCGCCTCTCACTCATCTCCTCGCCTCTCACTCATCTCCTCGCCTCTCACTCATCTCCTCGCCTCTCACTCATCTCCTCGCCTCTCACTCATCTCCTCGCCTCTCACTCATCTCCTCGCCTCTCACTCATCTCCTCGCCTCTCACTCATCTCCTCGCCTCTCACTCATCTCCTCGCCTCTCACTCATCTCCTCGCCTCTCACTCATCTCCCTCCCTCGCCTCTCACTCATCTCCTCGCCTCTCACTCATCTCCTCGCCTCTCACTCATCTCCTCGCCTCTCACTCATCTCCTCGCCTCTCACTCATCTCCTCGCCTCTCACTCATCTCCTCGCCTCTCACTCATCTCCTCGCCTCTCACTCATCTCCTCGCCTCTCACTCATCTCCTCGCCTCTCACTCATCTCCTCGCCTCTCACTCATCTCCTCGCCTCTCACTCATCTCCTCGCCTCTCACTCATCTCCTCGCCTCTCACTCATCTCCTCGCCTCTCACTCATCTCCTCGCCTCTCACTCATCTCCTCGCCTCTCACTCATCTCCTCGCCTCTCACTCATCTCCTCGCCTCTCACTCATCTCCTCGCCTCTCACTCATCTCCTCGCCTCTCACTCATCTCCTCGCCTCTCACTCATCTCCTCGCCTCTCACTCATCTCCTCGCCTCTCACTCATCTCCTCGCCTCTCACTCATCTCCTCGCCTCTCACTCATCTCCTCGCCTCTCACTCATCTCCTCGCCTCTCACTCATCTCCTCGCCTCTCACTCATCTCCTCGCCTCTCACTCATCTCCTCGCCTCTCACTCATCTCCTCGCCTCTCACTCATCTCCTCGCCTCTCACTCATCTCCTCGCCTCTCACTCATCTCCTCGCCTCTCACTCATCTCCTCGCCTCTCACTCATCTCCTCGCCTCTCACTCATCTCCTCGCCTCTCACTCATCTCCTCGCCTCTCACTCATCTCCTCGCCTCTCACTCATCTCCTCGCCTCTCACTCATCTCCTCGCCTCTCACTCATCTCCTCATCTCCTCGCCTCTCACTCATCTCCTCGCCTCTCACTCATCTCCTCGCCTCTCACTCATCTCCTCGCCTCTCACTCATCTCCTCGCCTCTCACTCATCTCCTCGCCTCTCACTCATCTCCTCGCCTCTCACTCATCTCCTCGCCTCTCACTCATCTCCTCGCCTCTCACTCATCTCCTCGCCTCTCACTCATCTCCTCGCCTCTCACTCATCTCCTCGCCTCTCACTCATCTCCTCGCCTCTCACTCATCTCCTCGCCTCTCACTCATCTCCTCGCCTCTCACTCATCTCCTCGCCTCTCACTCATCTCCTCGCCTCTCACTCATCTCCTCGCCTCTCACTCATCTCCTCGCCTCTCACTCATCTCCTCGCCTCTCACTCATCTCCTCGCCTCTCACTCATCTCCTCGCCTCTCACTCATCTCCTCGCCTCTCACTCATCTCCTCGCCTCTCACTCATCTCCTCGCCTCTCACTCATCTCCTCGCCTCTCACTCATCTCCTCGCCTCTCACTCATCTCCTCGCCTCTCACTCATCTCCTCGCCTCTCACTCATCTCCTCGCCTCTCACTCATCTCCTCGCCTCTCACTCATCTCCTCGCCTCTCACTCATCTCCTCGCCTCTCACTCATCTCCTCGCCTCTCACTCATCTCCTCGCCTCTCACTCATCTCCTCGCCTCTCACTCATCTCCTCGCCTCTCACTCATCTCCTCGCCTCTCACTCATCTCCTCGCCTCTCACTCATCTCCTCGCCTCTCACTCATCTCCTCGCCTCTCACTCATCTCCTCGCCTCTCACTCATCTCCTCGCCTCTCACTCATCTCCTCGCCTCTCACTCATCTCCTCGCCTCTCACTCATCTCCTCGCCTCTCACTCATCTCCTCGCCTCTCACTCATCTCCTCGCCTCTCACTCATCTCCTCGCCTCTCACTCATCTCCTCGCCTCTCACTCATCTCCTCGCCTCTCACTCATCTCCTCGCCTCTCACTCATCTCCTCGCCTCTCACTCATCTCCTCGCCTCTCACTCATCTCCTCGCCTCTCACTCATCTCCTCGCCTCTCACTCATCTCCTCGCCTCTCACTCATCTCCTCGCCTCTCACTCATCTCCTCGCCTCTCACTCATCTCCTCGCCTCTCACTCATCTCCTCGCCTCTCACTCATCTCCTCGCCTCTCACTCATCTCCTCGCCTCTCACTCATCTCCTCGCCTCTCACTCATCTCCTCGCCTCTCACTCATCTCCTCGCCTCTCACTCATCTCCTCGCCTCTCACTCATCTCCTCGCCTCTCACTCATCTCCTCGCCTCTCACTCATCTCCTCGCCTCTCACTCATCTCCTCGCCTCTCACTCATCTCCTCGCCTCTCACTCATCTCCTCGCCTCTCACTCATCTCCTCGCCTCTCACTCATCTCCTCGCCTCTCACTCATCTCCTCGCCTCTCACTCATCTCCTCGCCTCTCACTCATCTCCTCGCCTCTCACTCATCTCCTCGCCTCTCACTCATCTCCTCGCCTCTCACTCATCTCCTCGCCTCTCACTCATCTCCTCGCCTCTCACTCATCTCCTCGCCTCTCACTCATCTCCTCGCCTCTCATTCATCTCTCGCCTCTCACTCATCTCCTCGCCTCTCACTCATCTCCTCGCCTCTCACTCATCTCCTCGCCTCTCACTCATCTCCTCGCCTCTCACTCATCTCCTCGCCTCTCACTCATCTCCTCGCTCTCACTCATCTCCTCGCCTCTCACTCATCTCCTCGCCTCTCACTCATCTCCTCGCCGTCTCACTCATCTCCTCGCCTCTCACTCATCTCCTCGCCTCTCACTCATCTCCTCGCCTCTCACTCATCTCCTCGCCTCTCACTCATCTCCTCGCCTCTCATTCATCTCCTCGCCTCTCACTCATCTCCTCGCCTCTCACTCATCTCCTCGCCTCTCACTCATCTCCTCGCCTCTCACTCATCTCCTCGCCTCTCACTCATCTCCTCGCCTCTCACTCATCTCCTCGCCTCTCACTCATCTCCTCGCCTCTCACTCATCTCCTCGCCTCTCACTCATCTCCTCGCCTCTCATCTCCTCGCCTCTCCTTTCATCTCCCTCGCCTCTCACTCATCTCCTCGCCTCTCACTCATCTCCTCGCCTCTCACTCATCTCCTCGCCTCTCACTCATCTCCTCGCCTCTCACTCATCTCCTCGCCTCTCACTCATCTCCTCGCCTCTCACTCATCTCCTCGCCTCTCACTCATCTCCTCGCCTCTCACTCATCTCCTCGCCTCTCATTCATCTCCTCGCCTCTCACTCATCTCCTCGCCTCTCACTCATCTCCTCGCCTCTCACTCATCTCCTCGCCTCTCACTCATCTCCTCGCCTCTCACTCATCTCCTCGCCTCTCACTCATCTCCTCGCCTCTCACTCATCTCCTCGCCTCTCACTCATCTCTCGCCTCTCATCATCTCCTCCCTCTCACTCATCTCCTCGCCTCTCACTCATCTCCTCGCCTCTCACTCATCTCCTCGCCTCTCACTCATCTCCTCGCCTCTCACTCATCTCCTCGCCTCTCACTCATCTCCTCGCCTCTCACTCATCTCCTCGCCTCTCACTCATCTCCTCGCCTCTCACTCATCTCCTCGCCTCTCACTCATCTCCTCGCCTCTCACTCATCTCCTCGCCTCTCACTCATCTCCTCGCCTCTCACTCATCTCCTCGCCTCTCACTCATCTCCTCGCCTCTCACTCATCTCCTCGCCTCTCACTCATCTCCTCGCCTCTCACTCATCTCCTCGCCTCTCACTCATCTCCTCGCCTCTCACTCATCTCCTCGCCTCTCACTCATCTCCTCGCCTCTCACTCATCTCCTCGCCTCTCACTCATCTCCTCGCCTCTCACTCATCTCCTCGCCTCTCACTCATCTCCTCGCCTCTCACTCATCTCCTCGCCTCTCACTCATCTCCTCGCCTCTCACTCATCTCCTCGCCTCTCACTCATCTCCTCGCCTCTCACTCATCTCCTCGCCTCTCACTCATCTCCTCGCCTCTCACTCATCTCCTCGCCTCTCACTCATCTCCTCGCCTCTCACTCATCTCCTCGCCTCTCACTCATCTCCTCGCCTCTCACTCATCTCCTCGCCTCTCACTCATCTCCTCGCCTCTCACTCATCTCCTCGCCTCTCACTCATCTCCTCGCCTCTCACTCATCTCCTCGCCTCTCACTCATCTCCTCGCCTCTCACTCATCTCCTCGCCTCTCACTCATCTCCTCGCCTCTCACTCATCTCCTCGCCTCTCACTCATCTCCTCGCCTCTCACTCATCTCCTCGCCTCTCACTCATCTCCTCGCCTCTCACTCATCTCCTCGCCTCTCACTCATCTCCTCGCCTCTCACTCATCTCCTCGCCTCTCACTCATCTCCTCGCCTCTCACTCATCTCCTCGCCTCTCACTCATCTCCTCGCCTCTCACTCATCTCCTCGCCTCTCACTCATCTCCTCGCCTCTCACTCATCTCCTCGCCTCTCACTCATCTCCTCGCCTCTCACTCATCTCCTCGCCTCTCACTCATCTCCTCGCCTCTCACTCATCTCCTCGCCTCTCACTCATCTCCTCGCCTCTCACTCATCTCCTCGCCTCTCACTCATCTCCTCGCCTCTCACTCATCTCCTCGCCTCTCACTCATCTCCTCGCCTCTCACTCATCTCCTCGCCTCTCACTCATCTCCTCGCCTCTCACTCATCTCCTCGCCTCTCACTCATCTCCTCGCCTCTCACTCATCTCCTCGCCTCTCACTCATCTCCTCGCCTCTCACTCATCTCCTCGCCTCTCACTCATCTCCTCGCCTCTCACTCATCTCCTCGCCTCTCACTCATCTCCTCGCCTCTCACTCATCTCCTCGCCTCTCACTCATCTCCTCGCCTCTCACTCATCTCCTCGCCTCTCACTCATCTCCTCGCCTCTCACTCATCTCCTCGCCTCTCACTCATCTCCTCGCCTCTCACTCATCTCCTCGCCTCTCACTCATCTCCTCGCCTCTCACTCATCTCCTCGCCTCTCACTCATCTCCTCGCCTCTCACTCATCTCCTCGCCTCTCACTCATCTCCTCGCCTCTCACTCATCTCCTCGCCTCTCACTCATCTCCTCGCCTCTCACTCATCTCCTCGCCTCTCACTCATCTCCTCGCCTCTCACTCATCTCCTCGCCTCTCACTCATCTCCTCGCCTCTCACTCATCTCCTCGCCTCTCACTCATCTCCTCGCCTCTCACTCATCTCCTCGCCTCTCACTCATCTCCTCGCCTCTCACTCATCTCCTCGCCTCTCACTCATCTCCTCGCCTCTCACTCATCTCCTCGCCTCTCACTCATCTCCTCGCCTCTCACTCATCTCCTCGCCTCTCACTCATCTCCTCGCCTCTCACTCATCTCCTCGCCTCTCACTCATCTCCTCGCCTCTCACTCATCTCCTCGCCTCTCACTCATCTCCTCGCCTCTCACTCATCTCCTCGCCTCTCACTCATCTCCTCGCCTCTCACTCATCTCCTCGCCTCTCACTCATCTCCTCGCCTCTCACTCATCTCCTCGCCTCTCACTCATCTCCTCGCCTCTCACTCATCTCCTCGCCTCTCACTCATCTCCTCGCCTCTCACTCATCTCATCCCTCTCACTCATCTCCTCGCCTCTCACTCATCTCCTCGCCTCTCACTCATCTCCTCGCCTCTCACTCATCTCCTCGCCTCTCACTCATCTCCTCGCCTCTCACTCATCTCCTCGCCTCTCACTCATCTCCTCGCCTCTCACTCATCTCCTCGCCTCTCACTCATCTCCTCGCCTCTCACTCATCTCCTCGCCTCTCACTCATCTCCTCGCCTCTCACTCATCTCCTCGCCTCTCACTCATCTCCTCGCCTCTCACTCATCTCCTCGCCTCTCACTCATCTCCTCGCCTCTCACTCATCTCCTCGCCTCTCACTCATCTCCTCGCCTCTCACTCATCTCCTCGCCTCTCACTCATCTCCTCGCCTCTCACTCATCTCCTCGCCTCTCACTCATCCTCGCCTCTCACTCATCTCCTCGCCTCTCACTCATCTCCTCGCCTCTCACTCATCTCCTCGCCTCGCACTCATCTCCTCGCCTCTCACTCATCTCCTCGCCTCTCACTTATGCTCCTCACGCCTCTCACTCATCTCCTCGCCTCTCACTCATCTCCCCTCGCCTCTCACTCATCTCCTCGCCTCTCAATTCATCTCCTCGCCTCTCACTCATCTCCTCGCCTCTCACTCATCTCCTCGCCTCTCACTCATCTCCTCGCCTCTCACTCATCTCCTCGCCTCTCACTCATCTCCTCGCCTCTCACTCATCTCCTCGCCTCTCACTCATCTCCTCGCCTCTCACTCATCTCCTCGCCTCTCACTCATCTCCTCGCCTCTCACTCATCTCCTCGCCTCTCACTCATCTCCTCGACTCTCACTCATCTCCTCGCCTCTCACTCATCTCCTCGCCTCTCACTCCATCTCCTCGCCTCTCACTCATCTCCTCGCCTCTCACTCATCTCCTCGCCTCTCACTCATCTCCTCGCCTCTCACTCATCTCCTCGCCTCTCACTCATCTCCTCGCCTCTCACTCATCTCCTCGCCTCTCACTCATCTCCTCGCCTCTCACTCATCTCCTCGCCTCTCACTCATCTCCTCGCCTCTCACTCATCTCCTCGCCTCTCACTCATCTCCTCGCCTCTCACTCATCTCCTCGCCTCTCACTCATCTCCTCGCCTCTCACTCATCTCCTCGCCTCTCACTCATCTCCTCGCCTCTCACTCATCTCCTCGCCTCTCACTCATCTCCTCGCCTCTCACTCATCTCCTCGCCTCTCACTCATCTCCTCGCCTCTCACTCATCTCCTCGCCTCTCACTCATCTCCTCGCCTCTCACTCATCTCCTCGCCTCTCACTCATCTCCTCGCCTCTCACTCATCTCCTCGCCTCTCACTCATCTCCCTCGCCTCTCACTCATCTCCTCGCCTCTCACTCATCTCCTCGCCTCTCACTCATCTCCTCGCCTCTCACTCATCTCCTCGCCTCTCACTCATCTCCTCGCCTCTCACTCATCTCCTCGCCTCTCACTCATCTCCTCGCCTCTCACTCATCTCCTCGCCTCTCACTCATCTCCTCGCCTCTCACTCATCTCCTCGCCTCTCACTCATCTCCTCGCCTCTCACTCATCTCCTCGCCTCTCACTCATCTCCTCGCCTCTCACTCATCTCCTCGCCTCTCACTCATCTCCTCGCCTCTCACTCATCTCCTCGCCTCTCACTCATCTCCTCGCCTCTCACTCATCTCCTCGCCTCTCACTCATCTCCTCGCCTCTCACTCATCTCCTCGCCTCTCACTCATCTCCTCGCCTCTCACTCATCTCCTCGCCTCTCACTCATCTCCTCGCCTCTCACTCATCTCCTCGCCTCTCACTCATCTCCTCGCCTCTCACTCATCTCCTCGCCTCTCACTCATCTCCTCGCCTCTCACTCATCTCCTCGCCTCTCACTCATCTCCTCGCCTCTCACTCATCTCCTCGCCTCTCACTCATCTCCTCGCCTCTCACTCATCTCCTCGCCTCTCACTCATCTCCTCGCCTCTCACTCTCTCCTCGCCTCTCACTCATCTCCTCCTCGCCTCTCACTCATCTCCTCGCCTCTCACTCATCTCCTCGCCTCTCACTCATCTCCTCGCCTCTCACTCATCTCCTCGCCTCTCACTCATCTCCTCGCCTCTCACTCATCTCCTCGCCTCTCACTCATCTCCTCGCCTCTCACTCATCTCCTCGCCTCTCACTCATCTCCTCGCCTCTCACTCATCTCCTCGCCTCTCACTCATCTCCTCGCCTCTCACTCATCTCCTCGCCTCTCACTCATCTCCTCGCCTCTCACTCATCTCCTCGCCTCTCACTCATCTCCTCGCCTCTCACTCATCTCCTCGCCTCTCACTCATCTCCTCGCCTCTCACTCATCTCCTCGCCTCTCACTCATCTCCTCGCCTCTCACTCATCTCCTCGCCTCTCACTCATCTCCTCGCCTCTCACTCATCTCCTCGCCTCTCACTCATCTCCTCGCCTCTCACTCATCTCTGTGCCCCTCGTGCCACCATGCTTCGCATTGTCATCATGTGTTGCCTCCACAGGTGATTCGCGAGAACCAGATTGTGGTGGTGGTGGGCGAGACGGGCTCTGGCAAAACAACACAGATGACACAGGTGAGTGAGTGTTGGGGACGTGGCACAAGATGACTAAATGAGTTGCCTCAAAAGTCACCAGATTGTGGTGGTGGTGGGCGAGACGGGCTCTGGAAAGACAACACAGATGACACAGGTGAGAAACTTGGACTGACGGACTCGGTGTCGCTCTGAGTGACTCAGGCGAAGACATGATTGGGTGCTGCTGTCAGTCACCCTTGACGTGTGATTTTCTTATGGCAGATTGATGTCTTACTAGAACATTCAATGGAACATTACCCAGGCACCCCTTCAAAGTCGCACCTCATGGCAGATTTATGTTTCACTAGAACATTACCCAGGCACCCCTTCAAATTTAGCGTAAACATTCAACTCGACCTATGCTGACAGATAACTGATCGGGGTTGACGAAAACAAAATCGCCTGCGTGGATTAATAAGATGTCGTGCGCCAACACCTTCGCATTGGCAGACTGGTTGGGCAAGTGATAAACCTCTGCTCTGCCAACCGAGAGGAATGTGCACCCTCGCTTTAATTTAAACACTGTGTTTGTTGTTTCTCCTCGGTAGTAGCTGTTTAGTTCTTCTGTTCGCAGTACAGCACAGCACATACAGCATGGTGGGGTGGGGTGCACGCATTTCCTCCCATCAACTCACTTCGTTGCGTCATGTCTTTGTAACTCCTCCACCCCCCACCCTTCCCCCACTCCCCAGTACCTACACGAGGACGGCTACACCACGTACGGCATGGTGGGGTGCACTCAACCCCGTCAATCCATGCTCAAACCCTAAACCATAACTCAAACCTCCCCCGCACACACCCCCACCAGTACCTGCACGAGGACGGCTACACCACATACGGCATGGTGGGGTGCACTCAACCCCGTCGAGTGGCAGCGATGAGCGTGGCCAAGCGCGTGGCAGATGAGATGGAGTGCGAGCTGGGGTCCACTGTGGGCTATGCCATCCGGTTCGAGGATGTCACCAGCAGCAACACGCTCGTCAAGGTGAGTGGTGTGCACATGGAGTGGAAGGAGCAGTGCAGTGCAGGTGGGCAAGGGAGAGTTAGTGGCAGATGAGATGGAGTGCGAGCTGGGGTCCACTGTGGGCTATGCCATTCGGTTTGAAGACGTCACCAGCAGCAACACTCTTGTCAAGGTGAGATAGTATGGGCAGTGGGGAACGGGGAAAGGGAGAGGGAGGGAGTGGGACGGAGTGCGAGCTGGGGGGGTATGCCATTTGCTTCGAAGGTGAGAGGGGTGGGCGTGGAGTGGAAGGGGCAGCGTGGTGTGGGCGGGCAAGGGGAGAGTGAGTGGCGGACGAGATGGAGCGCGAGGTGGGGTCCACTGTGGGCTATGTCGTCCGGTTCGAGGATGTCACCAGCTGCAACACTCTCGTGAAGGTGGGATGAAGGGGGAAGGGGGAGCGGTAATGTAAAAGGCAGTGGGGTTGGAGAAGGGGAGAGGGAGGTTGCGAAATGGAGTGTGAGCCATCTGTGGGGTATGCGATTCGCTTCGAGGATGTCACCACCAGAAACACTCTCGTCAAGGTGGGATGGGATGAGATGGAAGGAGCAGTGCAACAGGGGGGAAAGGGCTTTTCGGGAGTGAGATGGGGTGCGATTGAGGGCGGGGAAGCAAGTTGAGTGCTTCGATGCACATTCTTTTGTTTACAAAAGTAACGCTGGTTCTAAGATACTGTCAGGCACCATGGGGGTAATCATAGCAATATGCGAGGAAAGGAGACGTCTACATTGTGTGATCTGCTGCTCTCTCTTCTCTTCGTGTTCCTCCTCGCCTCGTCCGTCCGTGCCACATGCTTGATTGTCACACACGTCCTTTTCACCACGAGCTTGAATCCCTGGTTCTTCTGCCGGTGATAACTTTAGAGGCATCTCAAAAGTGTGTGTTACCATGAGTGTGTGTGGTTCTTCTGCCAGTGATGACCATCATATTTCTCGATGACGAGGCGCCAGCACGGACTAAACACACATGCACTCTCACTCCGAGGTGCTGTGTGGTGCTGCGAAGCCAATGAGATGAGAAATTTGTGCGTGTCTGAGGCGCTGTGTGTGTGCTTCTGGGAGGTATTGTGTGGTGCTGTCCGGTGCTGAGCGATCCCGTGTAGTTAGTAGCAGCTGCTTGTCCCCTTTCACCTTCTTCTCATCTCACCCCCCTCTTTTCCTCCCAACCCCACCAGTACATGACGGAGGGAGTGCTGCTGAGAGAGTCACTCAGAGAGCCGGACCTAGACCAGTACAGGTGTGTGCTAGCTAGCAAGCCTCCTTGTTTCACTTTTGAGAATCTCCAAAGGGTGCCAGCCTCCCTCTACCCTGTTGTGGCTCTGTCTGAGCCGCCTTGGAAGCAGATTAGAGCGATGGATCATAGAGTTGTGTGGGTGGGTGGTGTGCTCTCTCGATACACCTTTGCGGTTATACTGGGTGGGTGGCGCGTTTTGTCTCTCTGTGTGCCGTCGTGTCCGATCAATCAGGGCCTCTGAGCCTTTTCTCACCACGAACCTTGCGAAACTGCTTTTCATCCATGCCTGCTGCAACCTCAACCCCCCCCCCCTCCCCCCTCCCCTCTCTCTCTCGGTGATGTTTCTCCCCCCCCCCCCCCTACTGCCCCCCCCCTCTCCCCTGCCCCCATCGCCCAGCGCCATCATCATGGACGAGGCGCACGAGCCGTCGCTGAACACGGACGTGCTGTTTGGCGTGCTCAAGCACGTGGCATGTGGCATGTGGCATGTGCTGCTCCTCTCCCCATACCCCCCCCACCCCCCTCCCCCCCCCCCCCATTTACCCTCCCCCCGCCACCAGCGCCATAATAATGGACGAGGCGCACGAGCGGTCGCTGAATACGGACGTGCTGTTTGGGGTGCTCAAGCACGTGGCGGCGAGGCGGAGGGACTTCAAGCTCATCGTCACCTCTGCCACACTCAACTCTGAGAAGTTCTCCCACTTCTTCGGCAGGTGAGGGGTGCTTGGGCAGTTGGCGCGTGCTGTGGCAGGTGGGACTTAGGTGGGGCTTGGGGGAGGTGGGGCTTGGGGCAGGTGGGGCTTGGGGGAGGTGGGACATGGGTGGTGGTGTCTTAACAGCACTCTTCTGGCGCGCTGCTTGTGGGTTGGCTTCCTTTAGTGAGTGGCAATTGATAGGCGACTGTGGGAGCACAGTATAACAACAGTCACCATTGAAAGAATCTCAAGTGTTGTCTTGATTAGAAAGAGTGTGGGTACATATAGGAGATGAGAAGTTGGAAACTAAGTGGGGTACCCTCAGCATTTATTGGTGGACCAATCAGATTGGGTCGACCAACAATTGCTGGGGTAACCAACAATTGTTGGAGGGGACCATTATTGCCCCCCCCCCCGTCAATTGCGGTCGAGTTGGGTTTGGGGGCGCCCAACCAAAATTGGTTGGGTCGCCTTGACCCAAAGTGTACACCCACTTTAGGGTGTAACACTTGCACAAATATAAACAAACATTATGCTATATTCTAACACAACCCCGTAGCATAAGAGGTTTATAATTGTGCACAACCCCGGAATCATGAAGCCGGGGAGAGGCCAAGAAGGCGAAGGAAGGCCCGGTGGGCTAGCTTCGGAAGAGCTTTGGTGAAGATGTCGGCGAAGCTGGCTTCGGCGGCAATTTTGCAGACAGCGACATGGCCTTGCTGGACAAGATCGCGAATGTAGAAGTAGCGTAATTCGATGTGTTTTGAGCGCCCGTGGAAGACCGGATTCTTGGTGAGGTGGATCGTGCTGGCGTTGTCGCACCAGAGCGTGGGGCATGGCTGAGGGGCCCCAAGCTCGACTAGCAAGAAGGAAAGCCAGCGTCCTTCCTGCGCAGCCATGGTACCAGCATAAAGTTCGACTTCACAAGATGAGAGGGCGATGGCGGAGGAGCGGGTGGAGCGCCAGCTGACCAAGCCGCTATCGAGCGTGAAGCCATATCCTTGGGAAGAGCGGCGATCCGGCTGAGAGTCTGCCCAAGACGAGTCACTGAAGCCGGTGAGGAGCGGGGGAGAGGTACCACCAAGGGCGAGGACATGGTCCTGAGTGCCACGGAGGTAGCGTAGGACTCGTTTGGCGGCTCTCCAATGCGCGGAGGTGTGACGACCGGTACCGACGAAACGCGCCAGGACGCTGATGGGGCAGGCGAGGTCGGGACGGGTCCCCATCATGGCATACATGATGGAGCCAACCAGTTCCGCATAGGGCTAAGTGGAGGCGGAGGGGGAGGTGGGTGGAGCAAGCTGATGGCCGAATGGAAGGGGAGTGGCCACTGGGTTGGCGAGAGCCATGTCGAACCGCTCCAACACCTGCTGAAGATAGTGAGATTGAGATAAGGTGATGGTGCAGGCGACTCGATCGCGTGTGATCTCCATGCCCAAGTAGTGGCGTAACTCGCCAAGGTCCTTGCACTGCAGACGAGCTTGTAGTTCTTGCTTGACGTCGGTCATGTCGGCGGAGGTGTCGGCGAGGAGCACCATGTCGTCAACATAGACTAGGACGAAGAAGCGGCTGGGACAGGTCCGAATGAAGAGACTGGCGTCAGAGTGAGATGGTTGAAATCCGAGAGCACAGAGTGTGGATGCCAGCTTAAAGGCCACACCCCGAATTACACAACGAAGTCAACGAAAAAATTGTAGGTTCGGAAAATCTCAGAAGGAGGTTCGGTGGGAAAATCGAGAACCAATCGCGTCAAAAACGCACTCAAAACTTTCGACCAATCACGTGAAAGTGGTGACAGTTTTGGGGCCGACACGGTAATTCTGGATGTGGCCTTTAACATGCCATTCCCGAGGAGCCTGCTTCAGGCCGTAGACTGGACGGCGTAGTTCCCAGACAGTGTCTGGTGGGAAGGCTTCATGGAAGCCATCTGGGCGGTCGAGGAAGATTTGTTCGTAGAGGTCTCCCTGAAGAAAAGCGTTAGAGACATCCATTGATGAGATCTCCATGCCGTTGCGGGAGCCGAAGTCGAGAAGCGTGCGAAGGGTCCCGAATTTTGCGGTGGGTGAGAAGGTTTCCCAAAAGTCCTTGGCATAGGTCTGTGTGAAGCCCTTGGCGCAGTAACGGGCTTTGTAGACAAACTCTTCCCCCGGGAGCTGCTTCACCCGGAAGACCCACTTGCCAGCGACAATGTTGGCATCTGGAGGCGGCTTGACATCGACGAAGGAATCATTGCGAATGAAGGCGTCGCACTCCTTGCGAATGGCCTCCAACCACTTGTCAGCGTCAGGGCACGTGATTGCCTCCTGGAATGTGGTAGGCGTGAAGATGAGAGGTGAGGAGGGAGTGCCAAGTACAACCGCGCCCAAAAGGGCAAGGTACACAGGGTTAAGGGAAGGAACGTGAGTTTGGATGGCACAAAACTCATGGGAGTCTTCATGAATGAGAGGTGGTTGACCAAGAATGGGGTCAAGGGAGCGAGTGTGCATGCGTGGGAGGAGGAAGGGAGAGCGTGAGGTGAGAGAAGTGCGAGGACGTGGGGAGGGTGCAGGAGGTGCGGCGGGCGAGGATGGAGGAGGAGAAGCTGGAGGGAGGTGGGTGGGAGGGGAGGGAGGAGGGGGAGAGGGAGGAGGGGGAGCGGTGGAAAGGGCAGGTGAGGCAGCAGGATCATAGATATCAGCCGAGGAAGGTGGAGGCGAGAGTGGAGTAGTTGGGAGGAGTGGAGTAGTTGGGAGGAGAGGAGGAAGAAGGGCATCTGCCCAGGTGAGCGGGCGGGAGGGTGGGGGGAGAGGGTCGGAGGGAGGAGGAGAGGAGTAGTAGGGAGTGGTTTCGTCGAAGATGACATCGCGGCTGTGAATGAGGCGGCCGGAGGGAAGATGAAGGAAGAGGTACCCAGGAGAGCCACGATTGTGGCCGAGGTAGACGCACTCCAATGCTTTGGAGGCAAGTTTTCCTGCTGTGCGGGAACGGTGTGCAGGAGGAATGAGAACAAAGGATTTGCAGCCCCAGACGCGAAGGACGGAGGCATCAGGTTTGGAGTTGCACCAAAGCTCAGTGGGAGTGAGGTTGGGATGGTGGGGGTGAGGGTAGAGGTTGGTGAGAAGGGCGGCATGAGTGAGAGCATAGCCCCAAAGGGAAGGAGGGGTAGATGCATGGGTGAGGAGACAGCGGGCAGTTTTGGTGATCTCACGGATGCGACTTTCAGCTACACCGTTTTGTTGCGGAGAATGAGGGAGAGTGGACGTCTGTTGAGTGCCATGAGCTTTGCAGTAGGAGGCAATGGTATGGTTGAGAAACTCCCCGCCACCGTCAGAGTGAAGGCGACGGATGGGTCGGCCGAAGTGCACGCGTGCTTGTTCGGCCCAGGCGACGATGACAGCGGCTGCTCCAGCTTTCGTGTGGAGTAGAAACACAGAGGAGTAGCGGTTATGGTCGTCAACGAGGATGAGCATAAAGCGGTGGCCCTGGCGGGAAGGGGAGGGGGCTTGGCGGTGGCCCCCTAGATCTCGTCCACATAAAGCGGTGGCCCTGGCGGTAACAACAGTCACCATTGAAAGAATCCCAAGTGTTGTCTTGATTAGAAAGAGTGTGGGTACATATAGGAGATGAGAAGTTGGAAACTAAGTGGGGTACCCTCAGCATTTGTTGGTGGACCAATCAGATTGGGTCGACCAACAATTGCTGGGGTAACCAACAATTGTTGGAGGGGACCATTACTGCCCCCCCCCCCCCGCCAATTGCGGTCGAGTTGGGTTTGGGGGCGCCCAACCAAAATTGGCTGGGTCGCCTTGACCCAAAGTGTACACCCACTTTAGGGTGTAACACTTGCACAAATAAAAACATACATTATGCTATATTCTAGCAATCATGGCTTTTGCAAACACGTGTCTTCCTTCCCTCTTTCTCCCACTCTCTTCCCCCGTGCCTCCCTTTTTCAGAATTCACAAGCATGACTTGTGTGTTCCACCACCTCGCACCGTTTTCCCCCCTTCCCCTGTTCCTTCCCGCCCCGCCAACCTCCCCCCTCTCTTCCTCCTCCCAGTGTGCCGGTGTTCTGTATCCCCGGTCGCGCCTTCGCCGTGAGCATCATGTGGAGCAAGTCGCCCTGCTCATCCTCTTCCCCCTTCCTCCTCCCCCCTCTCGTCCTCCCCTCTCTTTCTCTCCCTCCCATCCCCCCACTCCCTTACTCCTCCCCCATCTCTTCCTTCCGCCCCTCCCAGCGTACCCGTGTTCTTCATCCCAGGGCGCACCTTCCCAGTGAGCATCATGTGGAGCAAGTCGCCCTGCTCATCCTTCCCCCTTCCTCCTCCCCCCTCGTTTTTCCTCCTCTTCCTCCCCCCCGCAGTGTACCCGTGTTCTTCATCCCGGGGCGCACCTTCCCAGTGAGCATCATGTGGAGCAAGTCGCCCTGTGAGGACCCAGTAGACGCGGCAGTCAAGCAGGCACTAGCCATCCACGTCACCATGCCACCTGGCGACATCCTCGTATTCATGACCGGCCAAGAGGACATCGAAGCCACCTGCTTCTCTCTCGCCGACCGCCTCGAGCAAATGGCGGCCGGCGCCGCCCGCCCCCCGCCGCCCCTCTCCATCCTCCCAATCTACTCCCAGCTGCCGGCCGATCTCCAAGCGAAGATTTTCCAGAAGGCCGAGGAAGGTACCAGGAAATGCATCGTTGCGACGAACATCGCCGAGACGTCGCTGACCGTTGATGGGATCTTGTACGTGATCGACGGTGGATACAGCAAGATCAAAGTGTACAACCCCCGCATGGGTATGGACGCGCTACAAGTCTTCCCCATCAGCCGAGCCGCGGCCGACCAGAGGTCCGGCCGAGCCGGACGAACAGGTCCGGGAACGTGCTACCGGCTGTACACAGAAACTGCCTACGCGAACGAGATGCTGGCGAATCCGGTGCCGGAGATCCAGCGCACCAACCTCGGGAATGTCGTGCTTCTTCTCAAATCCCTCAACATCGACAACCTTCTAGACTTCGACTTTCTCGACCCGCCTCCTCAGGAAAACATTCTGAATTCCATGTACCAGCTTTGGATTTTAGGAGCACTGGACAACACCGGGGCACTGACCAAGACGGGGAGGCGGATGGTGGAGTTTCCTTTAGACCCTGCTCTGGCGAAGCTGTTGATATCCGGGGACCAGTTTGGGTGTGTGAACGAGACGCTGACCATGGTGGCCATGCTCTCGGTGCCGTCCGTTTTCTTCCGCCCCAAGGACCGCGAAGAGGAGTCCGACGCTGCCCGGGAGAAGTTTTTCGTGCCCGAGAGCGACCACCTGACCCTGCTCAACGTGTTCCAGCAGTGGAAGTCCAATGGGTACCGGGGGGACTGGTGCTCCGACCACTACCTTCACGTGAAAGGCCTGCGAAAAGCCCGGGAGGTGCGGGCCCAGCTAGCCGATATCCTCAAGCAGCAGAAGATTCCTCTCTCTAGCGCCGGTCAGGACTGGGATGTGGTGCGTCGGGCGATTTGCACGGCGTATTTCCACCACGCTGCAAAGCTGAAAGGCGTGGGGGAGTATGCGAGCTGCCGTACCGGCACCCCGTGCCACCTGCACCCCACGAGCGCGCTTTACGGGCTCGGAACGACCCCGGAATATGTGGTTTACCATGAGCTGGTGCTCACTTCAAAGGAGTACATGCAGTGTGTGACGGCTGTTGAGCCAAGATGGTTGGCGGAAGCTGGGCCGATGTTTTTCAGTGTGAAGGATAGCCATCAGAGCAGGTTGCAGCAGAAGCAGAAGCTGAGGGAGGAGGCGAGTGCGATGGAGAGGGAGATGGCGGAGGCGAGGCGGAAGAGGGAGGTGGAGGAGGAGATGAGACGGAGGAAGGACGAGGAGCAGACTGCAAAGGAGGCCGAGCTGATTATCATGCCGGGCGTCAAGAAAGGGCGAGGGGTGGTGGGCAGGCGTGCTGGTCTCTAGTGTGTGCGGCTTCAGCTCAAGTTTTGCTCTTGAGACGTGTAGAAAAAAACATAAAAGGGAACCACTTCTCACAAGCAGGTTGCAACAGAAGCAGAAGCTGAGGGAGGAGGCGAGTGCGATGGAGAGGGAGATGGCGGAGGCGAGGCGGAAGAGGGAGGTGGAGGAGGAGAAAAAACAAATATCACAAGCAGGTTGCAGCAGAAGCAGAAGCTGAGGGAGGAGGCGAGTGCGCTGGAGAGGGAAATGGCGGAGGCAAGGCGGAAGAGGGAGGTGGAGGAGGAGATGAGACGGAGGAGGAAGGACGAGGAGAGGACTGCCAGGGAGGCGGGGAGGATTGTCATGCCGGGAATGAAGAAAGGTAAGGGGGCGGCCAAGCGTGCTGCTGGGCTCTAGCAGTGTGTGTGTGCTTTAGCTTGATTAAGGGACGAGGAGCTGTGTGGAGCCAGCTGGGCTCTTAAGGTGGAGCGAATTGTCATGCCGGGAGTGAAGAAGGGACGAGGAGCTGTGGGGAGGCGTGCTGGGCTTTAATGTGTGCGGCTTCAGCTCGAGCATTGCTCTTGAGAGGAGAGGACTGCGATGGAGGCGGAGAGGATAGCCATGCCGGGAATGAAGAAAGGACGAGGGCTGCCAGGCGCGCTGCTGGGCTCTAGTGTGTCTGCGGCTTGCATGTAGTGAGATGGGGAGGGTGGGGGGGGAGGAGGAGGGGGGGGGGGGAGGTGGGGGGTTTGTGGGTTGGTGGGGGTTGGGATGGAGGTCAGGTGGAGGTTGGGGAGGAGGGTGAAGGTTGGGTGGTTTGGAGCTGTGGAGGAGGGGAAGGGGTTGGCTTGGACATGCTTGTTGGTTGGCTTGTAATTACCGTTTTTGTGGTCCATATCAGGAGGCGTTTGTTTTATCAAATCTGATGTGATAGTGGTACCGATTTTTTTCATGCAAATGTTAACTGCGGAAAAAAAAATCATAATAAATATAATATAAAATGTCGCTAAGATTAATTCTCACCAACTGTGGTGGATTTTTTGTATACATTTGTATGCCCCACAAAAGGATCTTATCAGATCTTTCAATACGATGAGCATTTTTGCTACATTGCACCGACCTTGCCACATTGCCACATCAGGCAAACTCTCCGTGTTTCGCGCCGTTCTAATCCCCAGTTGCCATGTTCACCGGAGATCCCTATGCGTGGCCGTCGCGCCGCTCGCCCGTCCTCGCGACGCGCGGGATGGTCGCGTCGTCGCAGCCGCTCGCCAGCGAAGCCGGCCTCCGGATTCTGCGGGCCGGCGGCAACGCGGCGGACGCGGCGGTCGCCATGGCGGCGGCTCTTGCGGTGTGCGAACCGTGCAGCACCGGACTAGGTGAGAATCACATCGACGATCGTCGGATCAGGCGGCGACGCCTTTCTGATCTTCAGCCTCAATCCAATCTGCACCGTCCACACCGTTCACTATCCCTTACCCGGCCCTAAACCGCAGCCGGTGACGCCTCTCCTCATTTCTGCCGCGCCTTTACCCCCGCGGTGCATCCATCCCGTCCATGTCTTCCCTCCCCGCCCTTTTCTCCATCACTCCCCCCACGCCCCACAGGCGGAGACGCCTTCCTCCTCTTCTACCGCGCATCTACCCGCACAGTCCACAGCATTCAGGGCAACGGCCGCTGCCCCGCCGCGCTCTCGCTCCCCCACCTCGCCACTCTCGGCTTCTCCCAAGCTTGCCCCCTCCCCCCCTTCCACCCTCTCACCGTCACCGTCCCCGGCGGCGCCGCCTGCTGGGCCGACACCATCCAACGGTTCGGATCGCGCCACGTGTCGCTCCGAGAGGCGCTCGAGCCGGCCGTACAGCTGGCAGAAGGCGGTTGGCCCGTACCGCCCCTGACAGCTGGACAGTGGGAGCGAGGCGTGGAGCAGGTGAGACTTGGGGCAGGTGAGAGTGTGGGGCAGGTGAGACTTGGGGCAGGTGAGAGTGTGGGGCAGGTGAGAGTGTGGGGCAGGTGAGACTTGGGGCAGGTGAGAGTGTGGGGCAGGTGAGAGTGTGGGGCAGGTGAGAGTGTGGGGCAGGTGAGACTTGGGGCAGGTGAGAGTGTGGGGCAGGTGAGAGTGTGGGGCAGGTGAGAGTGTGGGGCAGGTGAGACTTGGGGTAGGTGAGAGTGTGAGGCAGGTGAGAGTGTGGGGCAGGTGAGAGTGTGGGGCAGGTGAGACTTGGGGCAGGTGAGAGTGTGGGGCAGGTGAGACTTGGGGCAGGTGAGGCTTGGAGAACGGTGTGTGCTGTTTACTCTGTTGACCCTTTCTGTTCAGTAGAGCATCAGATTGACACCCTCTGTGCGTGGTGCACCCTCTGATCCACGTGGCAGTTGAAGCAGGGAGGGCCACATGGCGGCGAGCTATTGGTGGACGGGGAGAGGGCGCCGAGGGCTGGCGAGGTGTTTAAGAACCCGGGCATGGGCAACACACTGAGGCTGCTGGGAGGTGCGTCAGCGGCTATGTCCATCTCAGGGCCAGCGTCACTTTCAATTTCCTTGCCCAAGTTCATTCCTCACAATTTAGAACGGTTCTTCTTTCCTCTCCCCTCCACGCACAACAGAGCAAGTCAAGGATGGCTTCCACACTTGTCCAATGGCCGATGCCATAGTGGCAGCGGTGCAGGCCCAGGGCGGTACTTGCATCTCACGGCTCCATTCATGTCATCCCCCCCCTTTCCCCCATCCCCCACACCTTTCCCCCTCTTCCCCCATCAGAGCAAGGCAGGGATGGCATCTACACAGGCCCCATGGTGGAAGCCATGGTCACAGCAGTGCAGGCTCAGGGCGGGGTGGTCTCTCTGCCCGACCTCATACTTGATGCTTCGCTGCTCTCCCTCCCTCCCCGCTCCGCCACCCACAACAGATAAAGGCAAGGATGGATTCTACACAGGCCCGGTGGCCGAAGCCATAGTGGCAGCAGTGCAATCCCAGGGAGGGGTGCTCTCTCTGCACGACCTCGCCTCCCACGTCTCCTCCTTCGCCCCCCCCATCAGCACCACCTTCCACGGCCTCACCATCTGGGAGGTCCCTCCCCCCACCCACGGCCTTGCCGCTCTCATCGCTCTCAACATCACCGAGGCTTACTATTCCACGCACGGGCTTCCCGAGCCTGCCCGGGAGGCCCGGGGAGCGGGGCCCGAAGCTGCGGGCGAGGCTCGGGAGGAGGGGCGGGTCAAGGGGGAGGCGGATTTCACGCATGTGATGATTGAAGCGATGCGAATGGGGTTTGCAGATGCGCTGGCGTGTGTGGCTGATCCAGAGCACGTGCAGGTGCCTCTGGGGGAGGCTTTATCTAAAGAGTATGCAGCCAAACGAGCTGGGGAGATCGATTTAACACGGGCAGCGATCGTTGAGCCAGGGATTGGGGCGTGGGAAGGAGTGGGGACCGATACGGTGTATTTCTGTGCGGTGGACGGGGAGGGCAACGCATGCAGCATGATCAACTCAAACTACATGGGGTTTGGCACGGGGATTGTCCCCAAGGGGTGCGGTTTTCCTATTCAGAACCGCGGGCATAACTTTTCCCTGGACCCTGACCATCCCAACTGCCTGGCGCCTGGTAAGCGCCCCTACCACACCATTATTCCTGGCCTCGCCACCTGGGGGGATACCCCTTCTACTGCAGCAGCAGCATCAGCAGAAGCAGCAGCAGGAGCAGCAGCTGCAGCAGGAGAAGCAGGAGCAGAAGAGTCAAGAGCAGACGCAGGGGTGCCAGCAGGAGACCTGCACTGCACGTTCGGAGTGATGGGCGGGTTCATGCAACCCCAGGGCCACCTCCAGGTGGTAACCAGCCTCGCCCTCCTCTCCCTCAACCCCCAGGCCGCCCTCGACCGCCCCCGCTTCTGCCTCTCCGGCCTCCCCTCCCTCTCCCCCCCCGGGCACGGGCCTGGGCCAGTGAGAGAGAGCCACGTGGCGATTGAGGAGGGGCTGGGGAGGGAGGAGGTGGCGGAGGAGTTGAGGAGGAGGGGGCATCGGGTGGAGGTGGTGAGGGGGGAGGCGAGGGAGGTGTTTGGAAAGGGGCAGGTGATTGTGAGGGAGAGAGGGAGTGGGGTGCTGTGGGGGGGGTCGGAGGGACGGGCAGATGGCTGTGCCATGGGGTTTTGAACTAGGGGGGACGGGGACAGGAGGACTAAGGAGAAGGATGAAAGGAGGGAACAGAATGGGGGATGCTATTGGGAATGCTTAAAGGTGAACCTTTCCATTAACTGTGGAAGTAGAGTGAGCAACAGGGATGGAATTGAAATTCAGGCATACGGCTGAATTCAATCCGCGTGCTCTCCCTTTGGCTGTTGTGTAGGGAGAATCTTTGCAATGCAAAATGTATCCACCAGAGTTTTTACAAAAAAAAATACATTCAAGAACAAAATAATGAAAGAATTGGCGAGACAAGCTTAGCTAGCTGCTGCTGTTGATACCCTACAATGCTGCGTCCCTGTGCTGCTGCTGCAGGCATCATACCGGTACCATAATTGCCATCGCTCCACCGATCTTGTAAAGAAGATTCTGCTCCCACCATGAGAGTCGGAGATGACAGTGATGCGTTGATGCAGCGGCTGCAAGCCAATCATACTTGCCTTCCAGTGTCTTCTGTGCCTCACTGGGAAAGGTGCTATCCTGCTGCCATGCACACGCTGCCATGCCCCACACTGCCATGCCCAGATTGCCAACTCGCACATTCAACAACTTCCTTCATGTGATCAGTCCCGCTTGTGAGACGCACAGAAGACAATGACTTGCCGCAGCAGTTGTCGTGACTCGTCAGTGACTGCTCCCACACTGTCATGGAATGCCTGAAAGTTGTAGAAATTGTGGTGGAGAGGGAGGGATATAGATAGGAGAAACAATGGCATGACATATTGATCCGGGTTTGTTTAGATAGGTGACTGTACGACTGATTCCAAATCACCACTGAACATATCAACACTAACCCAACACCGCCATCAACTTTTTCTTGCCACTAGTTCGGGTTTAGGCTCACCATGAATTGCTGCAGCACTGGAGCCAGCGGCTGCAGAGAGGAGCCTGGCAGCTGGTTGCAGATGGACCGACACACTGGCTCGCTGCAGGTGGGGGAAGAGGGGGAGGAAGATAAGGAAAGGACGAGCGAGTTCGTAATTGACTTACGAACAGGCGCCAGTGGTTGCAGAGAGGAGCCTGGCAGAGCTGGTGGCGGACGGATTGACACACTGGCTCGCTGCGGGTGGGGGAGCCAGGGTGAAGGGGAAAGGCAGGGAAGGATGCATCCAGTTTTAGGGTTTGAAACGTCTCAAAGACGATGATTGGAGTGAGAGATGGACTCGCTCCAAGGGGGGCGGGGAAAGAAGGAGTCCAGTTTTGAGGAGTGGATGAAGAGGGTGTGTTTCAAGGAATGGGTGTATCGTAACACAAGGTTAGATTGGCACGGAAAGAGGGAACCTGTTCCACTAAGGAAAGTGACTTTGATGGATATGCCTGTGTGGAAGGTGGCTGCATACATGCCACCACACACACCTCTGCTGCTGTGCCAGCAAGCCACCATGCCACCCACCAGCAGCCCACCACACACAAGCGATCAGCAGACACACACCTGTGTTGTGCTAGCAGCCCCAGCAGCAGAGCAGCGTGGAACTCCATGATCAGCTGCTCCGCCTCCACTGCCTTAAAACCCCTTCCCGAACCAGTGCCCTCACCCGCATTTGATGAATACACACACCACCATGCCACCACGCACACACACCTGTGCTGCGCCAGCAGGCCCAGCAGCAGGGCGGCATGTGACTCCATGATCAGCTGCTCTGCTTTTTCGATCGACTCACAATAATGCATGCCACCACACACCCAACTGTGCTGCTGCGCCAGCAAGCCACCATGCCACACACATGCATGCCATGCCACCACACACACACCTATGCTGCGCCAGCAGCCCCAGCAGCAGAGCAGCATGTGACTCCATGATCAGCTGCTCCGCCTCCACGGCCCCCTGCACCATCATCGACATCACCATCTCACCCGACCCCACCGCCTCTTCCATCACCTTCCCCATCTCCTCCTTTCCAGTCCCCATCCCTTCCATCATCCCCATACCTCCCACCATCGCCCCCTGCAGCACCATCTCGCCCTGCCCAAGCACGCTCATCTGCAATTCCTCCACTTCCCGCTCCGCCAGTCGCCTCTGCTCCGCCATTCCCATCTCTTCTGCACCCTCACTCCCTCTCACCACCGCCGCGCTCCTTTCCTCATGGCTGGAGCGCTCCAAAATCTGACAATTGGCAGCGAAATCCTGCCTCTCCTTTTGCTGCTGCTGCTGCGGCTGCAGCTGCAGCTTCTTTTGCTGCTCGGAGCTTTTTTGGCGAGATGCAAAGATGGCGCACAGGAGGGACACCATCGACACACTCTCCTCTGCCCTCCCTGCCTCCTCTTGGCCACGGCTCCCACTGCTGGTGGCACTGTGCTGCTGCATGCTGTGTCCACGGGCCTTGTGCTGCTGGGTGCTGTATTTGCTGTATTCTCTGGCTCTGTGCTGCTTGGAGTGCAGCTGGCCCTGCTTTCGCCTCGTGCAAGTGGCTGCTGCCAGTAGGGATCTGCGGAACAGTTGTTGTGGGTGGGATGACGCACACAAATATAAAATATGCATAGGTACCATATGCACACACAGGACGATCAGCAGCAGAACCCTACCCGGTGCCATGGCACCCTGAGCTTCCATCAGATGGTCCATGGAAACACAAGGACCACTGTACATGCTCATGCATACGCACATGCACATGGGCAAGCACACGTATGTGCATGGTAGATGCATGCTTCCGTTGTTGTGACTTGTCAGTGTCAGCATACCTCACCACATGAAGCACCCATACCAGGCGTCACTATCAGCCTCCACAGGGCCAACACAACACCCACCAGCACCACCCACACCGCACGGGCGCATGCACATATAGGGGCACAACACCCGTTTCTGGGATTCCACCCACCCAGCATTCCCAGCCTAGGCCATACCTGGCATCACTATCAGCTTCCACCAGGTTGACAATCAGAACCAGCAGCACCACCAGGACAAGTGCACGCACACATAAGGGGCAGCATTACACCCTAAACCCTAAAAGTTTTTGCCATTGCACCCACCCAGCACTGTCAGCAACAACCGTACCTGGCGTCACTATCAGCTTCCACCAGGTTGACGATCAGACCCAGCAGCACCACCAGCACGTCACCATCTCCCTCCCAGGGCCAACCTTCCCCACGCGCTGCACCCTCCTTTTCCCGTCCTCCACAAGTCCTTTCAGCTTTATCACACTCTCCCCTGTCATCCCCTCCCCCATTACTTGCCCCGTTCCCCCTCCCCTGCACTCCATCCTCCAACCCACACGCTCCAGCTGTCACTGCCTCAGTTCCCTCGGACCCATAGCCCGTGCGAACTGTCGAAGCTGCTGCTGAAGCTGCTGCCGAAGCTGCTGCCGAAGCTGCTGCCGAAGCTGCTGCCGAAGCTGCTGCCGAAGCTGCTGCCAGAGCTGGCTCTCCTGCAGCGCCACACGGGGCCCCAGCAGATGCCAGGGCATGCTGCCAGCAGCGGTCAGAGCAGCAGGCTGCAGCCAGAGACGCCACCACAGCGATCCCGTGCGCCCCTGCCACCGCTCTGCACCCCTCTGCACTGTGGTTGGTGACGTTCATGAGCACCTTGCATGCTGCCAGCACGAACCGCCGTCCTGCCCGTGACCGCACTGTCAGCGTCTCCTTGCAACTGCCACCACCATCACCATCCCGATTGCCACCAGATTTCCCACTGAAAGCACCTTGGCTTGGATCACCTCTGGTAGACAAACCATTGCGAGATTTCTTCTGCCCCAGCCTGTACTCCTCACCCTCTCCATGCCTCCCCTTCTTGCCCTGAACCTTCCTCCCATGCACCCCCTGCCTGCGCAGCCCACCACACTCACCATCACTCCCACTGCTCCCTCCCTCCACCTCCTCTCCCAGCCTTATCCCCGACCCACACACGCCACCCCGCCCCTGTCCACACCCGTCTCCTCCCCTCATTCCCCCCCATTCTCCCCCCACCAACATGTCCTCCCCCACTAATAGCTCCTCCTCCACCTGTGAGTCCATCAGAAACTCGTAAGGATCCTTCCCCACGCCCTCACTCCTCCCGAACCCTCCATCTCCCCTCTCTCTCAACCCTGAACCGCCCCCAACCGCAGCACTCGCTCGCCTGTGCCTTTCCCTGCCACTCAGATCCGAATCCTCCAACCCCTCATCATCAGAGCCCTCCTGCTCCTCCCCTACCGCCTCGCCTAGGATAACTGCCCCTCCGTTACTGCCTGCACCAGTGCGAGGCCTGAAATGTTTTTTAGGCGCCTCAAAAATCTCCTCACCCAGGACAATAGCTCCTCCCCTACTGCCTGCACCAGCGTGAGCCATGAAAAATCCCAACCCTCTTTCCCCATCTTCCTCCCCTTCTCCCTCTTTCTCCTCGTCCTCTTCCTCCTCTGCCGACACATCTTCCCCCAGCGCAACAGCACCAATGCCATGTCTGACCTCCATGGGAAGAGCACCATTCTTGCCATGTCGCCATCCCTCCTCCTCCTCATCATAATCCCCCTCCACTGCCTCGCCCAGCATTACAATTTTCTCCTGCTTTTGCATAACCTGATTCACAGCACTACGCCCTGCACCTGCATTGAAAGCCACCTTTCCATGTTTCCCCTTATCAACGCTGCTGCTCTTCCCTGCACCTGCCCTTACTGCAACCCTCGCTGCGACCCTCCCTGCAACCCTCCCTGCACCCTCCTCCTCCCATGGGTCAAAGGAAAACGGGTCTGCGGATGCCCTCTCCTTGCCACTTGCCTGGACCCCTCTCCTCCCCCCACCAGACTTCCCCTTTGCAGCCACCCCACACACTCTCTTCCCTCCATTTCGCCCACTTCCCTTCTCGTCCTCCCCACTCCCCTCTTCGCCCTCCTCACTCCCCTCCTCTCGCCCCAAGCCCAGAGGCACAGAATCGCCCAGAATAACCTTTCCCCCACCACTGGCCCCCACTGCCCCTCCCACTGCTCTTCCCTCATCCCCCTCGGAATCTGTTCCTGAAGTGCTAGCGCTCTCCTTGCCCCTTGAGCTTTGAACGGCCCCACCACCTGAAACAGGGGACGTGGGTTGAGGGGGGAAAAGTGGATTCGGAAAAGGGGGGACGGGAAGGGTGAAAAGGGGGTTGGGAAGTTGAGAAAGGAGGGTAAGAAGGGGGGGAACGGAGTTTGGGGGGAAGGCGGAGAAGAAGAGTAAAGAAAGAGCCAGCTAGCAAATGAGGAGAGAGAGAAAAAAACCTCGAGTCTTAAGAAAACCAAGGCAGCAAAATGCCGGTTATTGCCTAGCAGCAGTGAGATCACCTGCAAGATGTTCCAGGCACTCCAACAGGAGAGCAACAAACGATCGCTCACTCATGCTGACTCCATTCCCTTTCCCTTTAGCCCCACTCAAGGCTGCTGTTTCCCTGAGGGGCACGGCAGCGGGAGAGGCGGTGTGGCAGCCAGACAACTTTCTTCGCTTTGCTCCAGGCAGAGTGTCAGTGGGCAAGGAGAGGCGGATGAGATAGTCCTGGTGGGCGAGGGGATACAAGGACGGAGGTAAGTGGAAATGGGCTCATTATTTAGTCAACACTATTAGCAACTCCAGGCAGAGTGTCAGTGAGCAAGGAGAGAGTCTGGAGGGGAAAAGACAGATGTTGAACAACGTTGTGATTAAAACACTAAACAAGGGCGAAAAAAAAAAAAAAAAAGACAACAACAACAACAACCAAGGAAAATCGTGTGCAGACCCTCAAACAGTTCACACAACCTACTGGCTTCAATTGACTTCAAAGTAAAAGAGGGTTGGAACGAGCAGAGGGGGTGCACAGCACACACTTGGTTATCGCGGCTCATGAACGTGACATGCTCCAACACGCCCAAACAGCTTGTCGCCACATCAACACCGGTGGAAATTCTTCCGCCATGTGTCAAGCCCTCATTGGCTGCTGCTGCTGCTTCAGCATCACCCATCCGCTTGTGCTTCTGCTGCAAGTGGTGCTTCTTCTTTAATCCAAATGGATGCTCCTTGCTCCCCAGCCTCCGCCTTTTGGCGTCTCCCCATGCCTCCCTCTCTGCTTCTTTCGCTCCAAGGCAGCCTGCACGTGGCTGGAAAAACAAACGCCAGAGTCAGAGGTGAGGGAGTAGCAATGGAGTGGTGATGCCTGGCAGCCACAGCCGTCACCAAGTGCAGCCCTCCGAAACTACAAGTCAGCAAAGAGCACCTTTGCTTTGCATTCCTTACCTCATGGGTGGACGTGGAGAGAGAGGAAAATTGCAGCATGTGCCTGGCAGCCACGGCTGCCACCAGGTGCAGCCCTCCCAGGCGGCGCATTTCGTCCTTGAGGCCCACGCGCATGAGCTGATGCCGCCCGGGCTGACCGGAGGAGAAGGGCGGCAGCGTGTTGTCTGGTGCTGCTGCCGGGGAAAGAGGGGGAAAACGAAGAGGGAAAGAACAAAGATATAAGAGCAAAGGAAGAGGGAACGAACAAAAAATGAAGAAGGAAGGAAGTGGGAAAGATGAGGGAAAGAAGAGGGAAAAGGGGAAAAACGCGCTTAATCTGGGAAGTTGCCATGGTGGTGTTGCAGTCTTCGGCATAGCACCATCCATCCATCCATCCAGCAACACACAACCAACAACAGGAAGAAGAGACATCCTCCTTGACAGTGAGCTGTTTGTAGCGACTCCTGAAGGGGAACCCAGACGCGTCCAGAGCACAAGGTGCAACGCAATGATTGCATCCTGGCGAATTGAGTGCCCGAGGGCAAAGGCGGGGAAAGACCTTGGAGGGCGATCACAGAGGAGCAGATCCGCTTCAATGTGGCCAACACCAGCGCCACAACAGTCACATCCGACGACCCACCACCACCATCACCAGGACCACCAGCAGCAGAACCACCACCAGTACCACCAACACGGCCTCTCTTCGCTTCCTCCTCCCGCACCCCCTCCCCCTCCCCATCCTCCTCCTCCCCATCCCACATCACTCCCCCACCCCCTCTCGGGAACAGCTTCCTGACCTTACACTCTGCTGCTGCAGCAGCTTCCGCCTCCCGCCTCTCCCCCCCCTTGACGGGGCATTCTTGCCAGGGGGAACCTGCCCGGGCAGGGAGAGACTTGTCACGGGTGGCAGCAGATGCAGGTGCGGGACGGGGGCTTGGGGCGGCAGGCGGAGGGGCGGCGGCGCTGTGGTGTTTGAGGAGGGCGAGGAGGAAGCTGAGCGCGTGGGAGGGATCTGGGAAGTCACTTTCCACGTCCTGAGTGGGTGAATGAATGGGGAGGGGGTCAAGGGAAAACATTTAGTCGACTCAACAATCAGTGGAGGGCAGGGAGCGATGTGGTGCTTGAGGAGGGCGAGGAGGAAGCTGAGCGCGTGGGAGGGGTCTCGAAAGTCGCTCTCCACGTCCTGAAATCGGTGAATGGGGCGTCACGAAGGAGCAAGTGAAGAAAGGGGAAGACGCATAGAAACAGGCCCGAAAGAAACTTGCATGAACATGCTCATGGGAGGAGACGTAGAGCACAACGAGAGGCGGAAGCCCTTAATCAGCACATGCAGACACCAAAGTCCCGGCAGAGAAATGACAGGCGCATTGGCAGGCAGACGGGAACTCACATCTGAGGAGACGAAGAAGAAAATAGCCGCTGCTGCCAACGCTAGAGGATGATCCGTTATTGGTAGAAGCAGAAGAGCATCCATGATCTGCTTTATTAGCCTGTGAGAGCAGCGGAACAGACATGGACAACGGTGTACCTAGGTTTGAGGATTCCCAAAACTATTAAAGTGTGAGCCATGGAACAGGGACAACATGTGAGACCTAACTCTCAAGAGCAATTAGGCAAAGAACGCCTTGAGAGCCCACCGCCTACCATCAAGCCAACCAGGCAACACGAAAGTGATTAAGACACACGACCTGCTGCCAAGCCAACCAACCCACCCCTGCGAGCGCAGCAGGCGACGGCGGTCCACAGCCGAGCAGATGGACGCCAGTGACGTGGCAGCTGATCTCTGCACCCTGATTGGATGCCGCAGCTTGAGCCCATCGAGTGCAAACATGGCCTCATCCAGACTCGCCATCATCTCACCCGACTCCTGCGCCTCCATCAGACTCGTCCCTCTAGGCCCCCGGAAATCTGACTCCTCAGGTTCCATTAGACTGGCGCCTCTAGGCCCTGGAAATTCTGAGTCTTGTGAATACGGCTCCTGTGATCCCATTGGGGGGATGCGCCAGCTGCTGCCGCTGCCACCATCCCCGCTGCTGATGCTGCTGTTGCCGCTGCTACTGCTGCCGCGGCAGCAGTTACTGCAGCAGGCATGAGGGAGCTGCTGTGCTTCTGAGTCAGGAACGAGCTGTGGTGCACTGGAGACTTGAAAAGCGCTTCCAGCTCCCGAAGCTCTTCCTCCTCCGGATCAATCTCTCGCTCACTACCCTGTTTCCCCGTCCCATCGCCCGGCCTTGGTTGCCCTATATTTTCTACATCCGCCTCTTGAGATGCGCTCGCTGCCTTGCCACACCTGCCTTGTTTTCTCCCCTGACTCTGGATACCTTTACCGCCCTTCTTCATCTTCACGTGGTTCAAAAAGCCGCTGGAATCATCTCCACCGTCCATCTGGCTTCGCCAGCTTGCTGCTGATCGCCGGCGTGGTTCTGCTCGGTTGGGTTCGATTTTAGTGCGAGAGGGCCCAGGAGGTGGGAGACTGGAGCGTGTCGGCTGGGACAGAAACCCGCGAAAAGCGTCAGGTTTGGAATAGGAGTGATGCAGAGGTTCGGATTCCGGTGAGAAAAGTCCACCAGGGGGGTTGGCGTTGCGGTGGGACGAAAGTGGACGCTCCAGCATGGCTTCGGGATCATCGCTGCCCACTAGCGACCATTCAGAGTTCTGCGAAGCAGAAACACAACGACAAGCAGGAATCAGGCTTGACAAGTGCACGCAAATGCAGACAGATGCGTAAAAAAGGAGCATAAGGAGCATGTCATGAACAGTTAATCGCGCATGTTTACTAGTCTGATTCGTTCTTTCTCCAAATATGCATAGAATGAAAGCCGACCGCGGGCTGGAACCACAGGCTCGTACTTGGGACGAGGCAAGGCCGTTCAGTTGAAACTCCTGCGACTGCGACGAGAAGAACGACTGCGAGTCCTGCGACGCTGACTCCGCGAACGAGTCATCTGAACCGCTCGGTACCCCTCTGCGTTTCCGCTGGTACGTTCTCACCAACATATTGGCCAATTCTCGCCTCGCTTAAGCTCCTGCGACTAAGACCTAGAGTTCAAGTCTGGTATGGACAAAACCTTTGAAACAGCAACGACTTTTTCGTGGTCGGAATCAGCCACTGTCCACTTCAGTGAAGACGAGGCGACTGAGTATTGTTCCTGATCCAGCTAGATCTTCGTAAGTCCTCCGTTTCAGCTATATGAGAGCCATGCGATTGTGACGGTGGTGAAACTCCGCCGTAGTGGTTCCAGCTTGAAGGCAAAACCACGAAAACTAGTCGTCGGCCAGACTCGGGAGGAGGTCTGTGGGTGAAAATCGATTTTCGAGGTTGGGTGAAATCTCTGAGGAATGTGAAATCAAGGTTTCCCGCGTCGTGCCATGTCAGGGTGATTCACTGTAGTTAATCTCGATTAGGGAGGAACTACCGTGTTCAGATGATTTGTAGTGTCATCAACTGATTACTTATTTATCCAAGACTGTTTTCTCATAGCTGTGCTCCGGATTTCCGTTTTATTGCCTTCATAATTTTAAGACGAATGCAAGATGTACCTTGATACAAAATCGCTACTACATCCCAAGAGAATGTCACAGATTACGGTACAGCCAGTACCGGTATAGACAAAGGGTCTGCCAATGGAAGGCAAGGCAGTCCCTCAGAAGAAACGACCAGCCATAACTTTGGTGAGGGACAAAACATGGTACGGCACCTTCTTATGAAGCATACCCCATTATGTTGTGAAAATCCCACTACTGAAGTTATAAACCAATACAGAACCTCCTGTGAATGTGCATGCCTGCAACTTTCTCTCTAATTTGCTCTTCACTGACAATGCCTGGGTGTGATTCTTTGGTTTACTTTTAGGGATTTAGATAGACCCCAGCCACAAATGCAACATGTTTCCCCAAGCTGAGGCAGCAGTGTTTCGCCAAGCTGAGGCAGCACCAGTTTCTTTCTCCTTAGCTTGCATCCACTGAGGACCTAACTTACCCAGAACTCTGTAGCAGCCTGACTACCGGACTTGCATTTCGAGAGTCGGAACAGAACCCATATGGAGACTAGTGACAGGTACTAGCGTGCTGCCTTGCTTCTCAGGCTGCGGGTGTGAACAGTGTTGCGCTGGGATTTCACTTTCACCAATGTGGAAGCGCGAATCGATGGGCAGGGCGACGGCGACGCATGAGGGTAGGTTCGATAGGGGAGTGGGGTGGAACGTGAGGGGAAGCGATGACAGGGCTTCGAGAGAATAGGACAAGTAGGCTGAGCCGGAGATGGAGGAGGCAGAGGTCGCGGAAACAGGCTTGTTCAGGGAAACAGGGAGGCGAGGGATAATTGGTGCGGGTGTGCAGAAAGGAATGAGGTTGGGAGAGACGCGAGAAAACCGTCCGCCAACAGTTTTTAAAGACATGGTCAGACTCTACAAACGGTCGCGGTTGGTCCTGGTTGCCCTGTTTGCAAGTGACTGCTCAATATGACGGGTAATTAAATCGAGATATTGCGCAATAAAGAGAAGGATATACAATCATGCGTCTCGTACTAACCAGTATAACTGCTTATTTTACGCTCAGAGCTTCTTCTCGGCACCAACGCCCTCCTGGTAATCAGGCTCGCAGAACTCTCCTCCTAGCTCGTCGCATGCCTCGCCGGGGAAAACGCTGCACGAAAGAAGCAAAAGAGAGAGAAAAATAGCCCGTTTGAGAGCCACGAGAAAGCCAACGCCACTCGCTCTGGAGAGCTTTGAGACGAAGGTGCCCAAACCATGTAATCGTGGGTAAAAAAAGCGGGCAACTGATTCGTGACACAGTTCTCACGTGGCGAGTATGGTCCACACATTCAATGCAAAACGGATTCTCCAATGCAATAACAGGCTGCGATTTCGGACGTACGTCGTAGGACCTTCTTAGAGGACAGGCTTCATGTGACAGTAAATCGCATTCATTGAACATGGTAGATTTAGACTGAATACAAATCACATTGCAACTCCGAACGTACGTCTTAGGGCCGTCGTAGTCGACCACGCCGACATCCTTCCCTTCGACCTGCTTGACGACGGGTTCAGGTTTTGACTCCAGCTTCACCTCAGCGAACACGCCCTCGGCATTGCAGAACTCGCCTCCCAGCTCGTCGCACGCCTCCGCGGGGAACACACTGGAGAAGGTAAACGGTTCAGGATGGCGAGCTATGAGCATCAGGAACTCTGAAACTTAGGGGACGGAAAATAAGGCTCTATAGTGGCATTGCCGGTCAAGGAAAGGAGCACTGGGGTAAAACAATGCGGTGGCATCAAGCATTGATAGACATCTCAGGCGAGAATCTCGAAGCTCACGTCGTGGCGGAGTCGGCTCCAGCGTAAGATTCGTTGTCTTCGCTCTCATTCTTGGCAGTGAAGCCGAAACCCGGAAACTTGATGGCGCAGACCACTCTCGCATTGGACCGCGCTGACCGCACTGGGAGTGTGCGGATGGTGCCGGGAGCCACCACAAGGGCTGGTCGAGCAAGGCAAAAGGCCTCCATGGCTAACCGAAAGCTCAAAGAACAACGAAGTCGAGGAGCCGAGGAGGGCGTGGAAACTGAAGTTGCTTCTGCTACTCCGGAGAGGAAAGAACCCCTTCAGCTGAGGGAAAAGTCGAACCTCCTTTGTGATTCCAGATTCAGAAGAGATGCATTGGAAAATGGACCAGTGAGGAGAACAGAATCTCCCAGCACAGTCTTTTCCTGAGGAAAGCCAGATTATTCCAGGGCGAACTTACGAAAGATGAAGTGCGTCTGTGTGAATGTCTGAAACGTCTGGTTTCCTAAATGACCGCCATCTTTCACGTTATATTACACGCAAAACTTAGTGTTCCGACAATGGATTGAGTCGGATATTTATTCCTTTGCTCAAGTGTCAGTGCCTGAATACACCCGAGGTAGACACGTGTGAGAAGATTTAGGATCTCCTCGTTTGCCGTGATTCGCTGAAGTTGGCTGCCAAGCTGGACGACAACATCAAGAAACGCCCCAGAATTCTGAAAATCTGTCCTTGACTGACGCAATTCTAGGACGAGTGATGTGGAGCTCAACGAAGTGTGGCCATATCGGGGTCCACGGAAGCACATGATGTGGCTTTGAAGAAGGGAAGTTAGAAATGACCAACTGGACATCGCCATGCGGGGCTGCCCAAGCACAGCATCATTTTCGTTGGGGTACAAACGACCTTATCAGGTTGAATATGGTGCGCAGTGTTTTAAAGCGGTAAATAACATAAATTGTTCCCTAGCACAGTTGCATGCATGAACCGTCAAACACCATTGTCAACCCCTCCTCCTCCTGGCACCTCATGGTTGTGTCTGCATATCCCTGGGTTGCTACTGCGCTTAGAATATGACTTGGATTATCAAAGATGATGTTTCCTTGTAAATAATCACGCACTGTTATTAACGCGAACAGAGGAGCAAGCTTGGTGGGCCCCAGGTTTTCGACTTCCGTTCCGTCCGTCCAACAAATCAGGTCACAGGCGGTCAACGGCGCTATTGTCGGCTCCGGATAGCCCAGGAAGTTCCAAAAGCCAGAAGCCATTGGAGTCAGAGATCTGACGTGGGGCGCTTTCGTCCTCTGCTCTGTTCGTTGACGACATCAATGGTAACAGAAGGTCCACGCGGCTGAACGTACGTCCCAAAAGTGCAAGACAGTGATTCAGACTATCCACCGTGGCGTTCCAGTTGGGCAGCCACGTCTCACAATGAATGTCTGTTGCCTTGAGCTCGCTATCACACTGCTGGAATTCGAATTCGCGGCCCGGCAAGCATAATAAATTCCCCACCCTCGAACGAGATTACTCATCAGCTCCTCCCAGTTTGACTTCTCCCTCATCCATCGCAGCACTTGCTAGCTACTTCTTCGGCTCAAACTCCAGCAACGTATCGCAATGGCTTCCTCCCTCGTCGCGATCCAATCGCTTTCTGCCCTCTCCTTCAGCACAGCCGTCAAAGGGTCTTCGCTTTCTGCCCATCGCCTAGCAGCCGCTTCCGCCATTGCTCCCGGCAGACCAGGTGTCACCGCCCTCCTCGGCTTCAACAAATCCGCCGTCCCCGCTAAAACCACTCCCGCTAAGAAGCAACTCCGCACAGAAGACGGCATCTTCGGCACATCCGGCGGCTTCGGGTTCACGAAATCGAACGAACTCTTCGTCGGACGCGTGGCGATGCTCGGATTTGCCGCGTCGCTCCTTGGCGAAGCCGTTACCGGGCAAGGAATTCTCTCGCAACTTAATCTGGAAACCGGAATTCCTATCACGGAAGCCGAGCCGCTCCTCCTCTTCTTCATCGCATTCACCGTGCTCGGCGCGATCGGCGGGCTGGGCGACCGCGGGCGATTTGTTGACGACGAGGCGCCTGCGGGTCCGTCGGTGAAGCCCGGCAGTTTCAAGGCCGCGCTTGGACTGAGCGAGGACGGGCCACTGTTCGGGTTTACCAAGGCGAACGAGCTTTTCGTGGGGCGCATGGCGCAATTAGGGTTTGCCGCGAGCTTGGTTGGCGAGGTGGTCACTGGGAGAGGTGCGTTGGCGCAGCTGAATATCGAGACTGGGTTGCCGATTTTTGAGTTGGAGCCGCTGCTGCTGGCGAGTATCGTGTTCTTCTTCGTCGCGGCTATCAACCCTGGTACAGGAAAGTTCATCAATGATGACGAGTAGGGTCGTAGCACATGTAAATAGTATACCGTAGGTTTTGGCTTTGCTTGTACACATTCACTGCCTCAGCTTCAGAACAATATACCGAATTCTGCTTAGACACGACTGTATGCGCCTGCTGACAAAGTATTCATGAAATATGATGTGTTCTTTGCTAGCTTGCGTTCTACTACTAACTACCAGTACTGCACCATATCTAAGACATCACAAGCTTATACACAGATTGACCAGGTTATACGAAAACCAGAAGCTAAGAAGTCATGATAACCTAATATTTCTGTGCAAATTGGCTAGCCATGGATACTCTTCCTGTGTAATGCTGGATCTCAGCCTGTTGCAGCGAGAAATTGAAGGCTCAAAAGCCGCCAACGCGAAACTGCCCCAAGCTTCATGAAGTTAAATATGATGCGCAGTGTTCTAAAGCTGTAAATAACATAAAATGTTCTCTAGCATGGTTGCGCGCATGAACCATGTCAAACACCAATGTCACCCCCTCCTCCTAGCACCCCGTTCCTGGTGGTGCTCCGTATACTGTGTCTGCATAGATTGCTACTTCGCTCAGCATATGACATGGATTATTTCAGACGAGAGTTTTCTTGTAAACAATCACGCATTGTAATAAGACGCGAACAACAGACCAAGGTTGGTGGTGGTGGGCCCTAGGTTTCCGACTTCCGTCCAACAAATCAGGTCACAGGCGGTCAACGGCACTATAGACGCCACTGGATGGGCTAAAAAGGTTCCAGAAGCCACTCCAAACCTCACACCCTCTAGTCCGAGATCTGACGTGGGGCGTTTTCGTCCTCTTCTTCCGCGTGTTGACGAACTTGATGGTAACAAAAGTCCACGCGTCTGAGAGCGCGGTACACCTGGCGTATTTTAAGGATCACTTAGCTGAGATCACCGTCACCCCAATCGTAGGATCATTGGTAGCAAAACAACAAATTTTGTAGGCACATTACGATCCTCGTTGATGTACCAATTCCAATTTTGCATTGGTGATCCTCTGCGACCAGGCGAATCGCAACGAGTCACGAACGTTGATACTTCGCGTGCATATGTTGGCCGTGTAATATACTGAGACGAAACAACCTCATTGGTGAGATTTTCATTTTCGAAATGTTTTGATTTGATGCGACCTCGTTTCAGATGTACGACCTGATTGCGAAAGGAAAGCTTTTCGTCAACAAGGATCACCCTGACTTTGGTACAGAGTTGCAAAGATCACCAAGAGATTGGCAGTCACGATGATCCTACGGACATCACAAAGATTGTGTAGCATTGACTACACATGTTCCCGATCCCACCTCTGTTGGTACACCACCTGACACAGTGATCACTGTACTGTAGTAGGTGGGACACTGTTCCGCAAGGATCGCCGACGTGATCCTCAAAATGCAGCGATCTTTCCTTGGGTGTACCGCGCTCTGAACCTCTGTCTCAATTTTGGCAAACGCTGAATCGGCCCATCCACCGTGGCGTTCCAGTTGGGCAGCCACGTCTCACAATGAATGTCCAGTGTATTTCAGGAATTGAGCTCGATTCGCACCACTGGAATTCCAATCCGCGGCTCGACAAAAATAGTACAAATTCTCCATGCCAGACCGAATCGATTATCATCCATCCTTCATACGCGGCACCTCTAGCACCGATCCTGCGATCGATCCTGCGCAGGTTCGAATGTTTTAGGATTTTAAAATGGTTTCAAAAGATTGAAATGCTTTCAGCAGGATTTCAGTACGGTTGAATCAGCGATCCTGCGATCGATCGTGCAAAATTGCTTGAGGTGCCGCGTCCAAGGGACACAGCAACACAGCGACCCCCTTCCCACCTCCAATTCTTGAAACATCTCTCCTCCTCCACTACTCTTCCGCAATGGCTTCCTCCCTAGTCGCTCTCCAATCGCCCTCTGCTCTCTCTTTCAGCACAGCCGTCAAAGGCGCCTCAATCTCAACCCATCGCCTAGCAGGTGCTTCCGCCATTGCTCCCTGCAGGCGAGGTGTAACTGCCCTCCTCAACTTCAACAAATCCGCCGTCCCCGCAAAGGCAACTCCCGTTAAGAAGCAACTCCGTACCGAAGACGGCATCTTCGGCACATCCGGCGGCTTCGGCTTCACGAAAGCGAACGAGCTCTTCGTCGGCCGCGTGGCAATGCTCGGTTTCGCCGCGTCGCTGCTCGGCGAAGCGGTAACCGGGCAAGGAATCCTCTCGCAACTGAACCTGGAAACCGGAATTCTTATTACCGAAGCCGAGCCGCTCCTCCTCTTCTTCATCGCCTTCACCGTGCTCGGCGCGATCGGCGGGCTGGGCGACCGCGGGCGATTCGTCGACGACGAGGCGCCTGCGGGTCCGCCGGTGAAGCCCGGCAGTTTCAAGGCCGCGCTCGGACTGAGCGAGGACGGGCCCCTGTTCGGGTTTACCAAGGCGAACGAGCTGTTCGTGGGGCGCATGGCTCAATTAGGGTTTGCCGCGAGTCTGGTTGGCGAGGTGATTACTGGGAGAGGCGCGCTGGCGCAGCTGAATATTGAGACTGGGTTGCCGATTTTTGAGTTGGAGCCGCTGCTGCTGGCGAGTATCGTGTTCTTCTTCGTCGCGGCTATCAACCCCGGTACAGGAAAGTTCATCAATGATGACGAGTAGGGTCGTAGCACATGTAAATAGTCTACCGTAAATTCTGGTTTTCCCTGTATACATGTAAATGCACGACAGTTGTGACATTTACTACCTCAGCTTTGAACATGGGACTCCTGCTTCTGAGCGTTGTGGATATTAGGCACTGGCACCTACTCACTCGGCGTTCATGAGGTACGATGTGCTGTTTGCTAGTAGCCTGCACTTAATTGTGAATCAAAAGACATTGTGATTCATATCTACGGTACAACATTACATGCTTTTACACAGAATGTCCACGTAAACATACACACAAACAAGAAAAGTGGTAGTAACATATTACTAATATTTCAGTACAAGTTGGCTAGCCATGGATGCTCTTCCAGTGTAATGCTGGATCTCAGCCTGTTGTGGGTATTGGAAGACAAGGCCAAGGTCAAAGCAGCAAGCCATTGAAGGCAGGGTTAGTACCGTACAAGGATTGGGGGAAACGAGGAGGGGGAGAAGGGCGGCGGGGGGAAGGGCAGGGGGTTGTGGGTGGGGGAGGGTTGCATTGCATGCACCATCCCATCTCCCAGTGCCTCCTCTCTTGACACACCAAGGTGCTCCTTTGGTGGTCACCCTTCTCTGATAAACCCCTCAGTGACAGTGGGGTCATGGCCACTTTTCCCTGAAACACCCTCCCCAGGTCTCACCTTGCGCACGGCCACAATCGCTTGCACCATGGCCTCCCCCAGTGCTGCCCGCATGACAGTGTCCGCCTCAAAGGCCGCTAGTGAGTCCTCCAGGCACGAGGGCAGGCGGGGAGGAGCAGATTCGGCAGGAAGGTCAGCAGGGTTGACGTCTGGAGGGGTGGAGGGGAGTGGTAGGGGGTGGAACGAGGTGTGGGTGGGGGAATGAATCAGTCCACTTGAGGATGACACGGGGGGGTTGCAAGAGGGTGGCAGGCATGGAGGTTAAGAGGAAGGTGAGAGATTAGGAGCGAGCCCTCCTTGGTGAAAAACCAGGAGGGATCGATTGCAGCTAGCAGCACCAAGCGTGCATGCGCATGCATCTCACGTATCACCCACGTCACATCATTTCACATCCATCACATGCATTATATCGCTGTACTGTACCATGCATGTGCTTTTTGAGACGTCTCAAATATTTTCACAAACGTCACATCTTATCACATCCATCACATGCGTTTATAGCATTGTACCATGCATACACCTTGCAGGCATGCGCTAGTAGGTTCCTTCCACCAGTGACAGCTCCCGCTCCAAGTTCCAACCCATACCCATCCATGGCAACAGCAAAGATTGCAACTGACACCAAGTGCAGCTGACACCAAGTGCAGCTGACACCAAGTGCAGCTGACACCAAGTGCAGCTGACACCAAGTGCAGCTGACACCAAGTGCAGCTGACACCAAGTGCAGCTGACACCAAGTGCAGCTGGCACCAAGTGCAGCTGACACCAAGTGCAGCTGACACCAAGTGCAGCTGACACCAAGTGCAGCTGACACCAAGTGCAGCTGACACCAAGTGCATCTGACACCAAGTGCAGCTGACACCAAGTGCATCTGACACCAAGTGCAGCTGACACCAAGTGCAGCTGGCACCAAGTGCAGCTGACACCAAGTGCAGCTGACACCAAGTGCAGCTGACACCAAGTGCAGCTGACACCAAGTGCATCTGACACCAAGTGCAGCTGACACCAAGTGCATCTGACACCAAGTGCAGCTGACACCAAGTGCAGCTGGCACCAAGTGCAGCTGACACCAAGTGCAGCTGACACCAAGTGCAGCTGACACCAAGTGCAGCTGACACCAAGTGCAGCTGACACCAAGTGCAGCTGGCACCAAGTGCAGCTGACACCAAGTGCAGCTGACACCAAGTGCAGCTGACACCAAGTGCAGCTGACACCAAGTGCAGCTGACACCAAGTGCAGCTGGCACCAAGTGCAGCTGACACCAAGTGCAGCTGACACCAAGTGCAGCTGACACCAAGTGCAGCTGACACCAAGTGCAGCTGACACCAAGTGCAGCTGAGCACACGTACGGTATCACACGTCCCATACCCATGAAATCACATCCCCACCCCGTCCCACCCCCCTCTCCACCTTCCCTTCCCCTTCCCCTCCCACACCCCACAGACACTCTTGGGCACGTACCTATGGGTTCTGGCAGTGGAGACTTCTTCTCGAGCCCATCCACGCCGGCAGCAATGGTGGCCGCAATGCTAGCACCAGGTGCGGCAGAATGCACGGATCACATGCCTTCACATACACATGGGATATAACAAACACACTCACAAACATAGCCACGCAAGCAAGGACACGTACCAACAGGTTCTGGCAGCTGCAGCTTCTTCTCCAGCCCATCCATGCCAGCAGCAATAATGGCTGCCAGCACCAGGTGCGGCTGCGCACACGCGTCACACGCCTTCACCTCGAAGTTGGTAACTTGAAACGCTGCTGCCTCATCAGCAGCAGCAGCAGCAGCAGCTGCGCCGTCAGCAGCACCAGCAGCTGTGCTATTAGCAGGAGCTGCTGCTGCACCGTTGGCAGTATCGGTGGGGGGAGCAGCCACTCTCACAGCAGCCTCGCGGTTCTCATGCCCCCAGCATTGGAAGGCCCCCGTCCACTTGTTTGGGCCCAGGCGCTCGTAGCTGTGAGCAACACAAGATTCGGACAGCGCGGGCCGGAGGGGGAGAGGAGTTGTTGTGGGACTAAGGATATACTGTAGAAAAATGCAGCACATGATTCAATCAAACGGCGGGAGACAGGGAGAGGGAGGCGAGGAGGTGGGGACGTAGGAACAAGGCCATGACTGGGAGCGACGAGGGATAGCAGGGATGTGACAGGGAGGAGGCTGTACCTGTTGGGCAGGGGGCAGGAGAGAGCCATGATGGAGGGCAGGTGCGCCATCACCCCGGCCATGAACTGCTGCCCCTCCTCCGACATGCCGTGCTGCTGCCCTCCCTGCTGCTCTGCCTGCCCGCCTTCTCTCGCTTGCCCCGTTGCAGCAAAAGCGTTGATGTAA